GTCCATTTATTTGTAAGTCAATAAGTATATCCATCCACGAGTTATTTAGTTAGGCGAAGAATTTAGTCCAGACTGTTTAGTACTAATCATAAAACATGATGCATTAAACTGGAAGTTTTGATGGGCGCTTAATACCTTTGACCAAGGCTGTAGGACCATGAATCTTTGCCTATTGATTGTTTGGTTGGTTGGAGTGATATTAACAACGACACAACAGTTTTGAAATCATTTATTTTTTCTTATCTTCTAAGTTACAAAAAACGTGAAAAGACTAGGACATTTATAATTAATTAGACAGATCTTTGGATAGAACATTGTCGATTGTGATATGTTTTTACAAATGGACTACACAATTTATAAGCACATTTTATTGTTTCCATTGTCTTCAATGTAACATTTCGATCTTCGTTGTTAACTTTTATGCCGCGAAACTTATTAACTAGTTCCTTACAAATCATGAATGAATAAATGAAAACTGTTTTACTGCTCATACAAAAAAATTAAATGACAACACAGAACAGCCTAATACACAACAGGCGGCAAAAATTAAAAAAAATAATACGTTATTGTCGTTCAACTATGATGGTATAGTCGCCCTAGCCTCATTGATCAACTGCTGGAAATATATAGCAAACCTGAAGATATCCCGCGCTCAACAAAAGACATACTGAAAAACAAAGACAATACCCTGTCCTATACAATTATAGAACATCTGTTCGCGGATAATGTGTGTTTTCGCCTAAACGTTCTGTTTTCTTCCATTGGTGGTATATCGACTAAGCCTTTTTTTGGTACTCGGATCCCTAATTGTAAAATAATAATAATGTACAACAACATAACATCAAACGTAAAGGTACCTAGCTGAGTGAAGAAATAGATTTCTCACAGATGGCACTACGGCAAAAAAATCGTTAAAAACAAAAACCAAGATTTGCTACAAGCACATAGAAAAATTTGTAAGGTCCGCTAGTATGTTCCATGGCCTAGTTGGCATAGCGCCTGACACGATTTACTGGAAGACGTTGGTTCGAATCCAACCAGAACAAAGGATATTTTTCTAAGGGTTCGTCTTTGTATTAATAAACATATTAAACAACCACACATGGTATCTAAGGATGAATAAAACAGGTCCGAGAATGGACCCCTGAGGAAGCCCTTTAGCAACGGTGGCGGCACCAGAAAGCATAGAAGACCCATCCTCACCGCGTACCTTCACATAGTAGTAGTATAGTGCAATTCTATTCGTACCGAAAAACTATACGATTCGGAGAGTGACTGCAGGAATTTTACAATCTAGCGTTTTTAGCCACGGTATGGCGAGGTCGCTGGTTCATGTTCCGCCGGATTGAAAGAATGTTTCATTGTGTTCTACCTTTATGTTAACAATTACTTTACAAATTGGTTCCACTCAATTTCCCGATCTCAAATTAGCGAACCCAGTATTATGACTTCTACAACAATGGAGTCCATTCCGAGACCAACTACCAGAATACTCAAACCAGAAACAATTAGGAAAGATTATTCCCCAAATTAATTATACCAGGAATCGAACCCGGGGCTTCCTCATCCAGTCCACATTACAAAGCGTTGGGCCACTGAGGCTATCTATTGTAATAATTGTTTTTATTTTTGTATAAAATTTATTTTGGCTTAGTTTAACATATCACATAATCGACACTGTGTAACTCTAGACATAATTAACTACAATTTAGAATTTTGCCCATCACCAAAAAGGTTGTTCCAAATTGCCCCAACCCATCCAAATTGTGGTTCCCTGCAAATCATATTACAATAATTATATTAAGTATTATTGATTTTATTAATTATAGTTATAATACCATAGAATTCGTTAATTTTGTTAAGTTACTCCACTAGTTTCTTGCAATTATTATGGTGCTAACAGATTGACTGCATGCAGCCGAGATCGATAGCATGCAGTTAATGCGTGAAGTCGTTATCAACTTCAACATTAGCACACACATAACACAGTAACTGCAACCATGCAGTCAATCCGTTAGCAGCCTTAATATCAAAATCACTACACAAAGAAAAAAATCACAAAGAAATAAACGAATATCATGGCAGCAAAACGTTACGATATTCAATAAAATCAATGGTATAATTGATACAGCGACATGCAAGAGACGATCGACATCGTAATTTCTGACGATCGTCACGTGTAATGAAACAAAACGAGTAAATGTGTAAGCAACAGACGATCGACATCGTATTTTTTGTCTGTGACATTTAAATACAGACAATTTTATACACATGTGACACACATTGAGTTTATCCTTATGTTCAACACCAGCTCAATAAAAAAATGTCAAGACAAGATTCTGTATGTTATATCATATCGTCAATAAGACGCGATATTAGAAAGCTACTATTATTCTAATTGCTTGTTTGCACTGGATCGACAGACTACTTCGCCTTGCTGAAGGAGGCGTAGTCAACTCGCTGTTTACACCGAGTCGACCGCCGCATCTTCGGCAAGTGAATTTGTTTAACGAAGGCGGCGCAGTTGTCAAAATTACCTACGTACTATGTACTTACGCACAGACACACAACAAGTTGTTCGAAACATTCAACAAACTGTTAGTATTGGTAGATATTCCTTGGCCACCCGTACGTGTAACGTGGTGGAATGCAATTGCCGACACGTTATAAACTTGTTTGGCCTACCATCCCTCGTCAAAGGCGACAGAGTCGCCCGACAGTGGCTAGGGGTATATCTAGTGACTAAGTCGACTTTAGCAGCGAACTACAGTCGTTAAACGACTCAGTGTTTACACTGGGTCGACCAGTCGACCTAGTGTGAATGCACCATAACATGAGTTAATTTTTAGTGCAAATATGTACATTGCTCAATCTGGAACTTACTCTTTCTTGCAATTGTACATGTTGTTTACTTTTCGGACGTCTCCTCGGCTCAAGCCTTCCCTCTGACCCAGAGTTACTCCACCCACCTGGAATTAAAAAAGTTTAAAAAAGACTGTACGGCCAACCAAAACGATGTTCATACGCCTATCACCTATAAATTTCAGTAATAGCAATAAATAAGAACTAGCAAAATAATACGAATGTTTGAAGTGGAAAATTAGCGTAGATGTGTGTGTAAGCGCATTTATATGTATAGATGAGTAAAGTAATTCAAAATTATGCACACCAACTATGTATTCAAGTGGACTGTAAGTTTTGTAAATTATTATTTTAAGTACAATATGCATTATATATTTCTTTACCTATAATGTTAATCTCAAATACTCGAGAAAGCTCACGTAACGGTCAACGATGTGAAAAAAGTAGACTTTATTGTAAACAAAAAAAACATAATTTAAATTATGATTGCAAACTGAAATTAAATAATTTTTTTTTCTCTACTACGCGTGTCCATAAGTAAAGTATAGTTAGTTCATCACGTGAAAAAGAAAAACAAATAAAACAACTGACAATCAACTTATATTCCCATTAAAAACCCAGTCAATAAGTCAGTTTTCAAGGACACTAATAATGCGATCTATAGCGACCCAGAAACTTTTCCAAGCAGGGTATCTACGAGTACCTACTAAAATTACCGCTGGGGCCGCTGTAGAATTTGCCATACAAATAAAGCATGTTACGTGGTAGCAAGAGACAATAGTCACTGTAAACTTATGTCAAACACACACAGAATATATTTTAGAATTTCGTAGAAGTAGTGCTTTTTTACTCGAATATCACTGTGTGCACTGTACATAGCACATATTGTATCCCCTTACTAAGGACTGAAATGCGACTGTTCATTGTCCTAAAACCCATTCGATGTGCCCGGCAGTCGGATGTATGCCTTCAGTCGATTTTTCAATAATAATAACAATTGTCGTACGATTTCATGTCCGTTTAAGATCGGAAAGTGTAGATTGATCTTTAGTCTCTGTTGCGTGAAATTTGGAACGCCTTTCTTTACCGTTTATAGCTGTTAGTACTTTTTTATGATATTCAGCGACGGAACGAAGCAACACAGCTGGTGCTAAGCAACACGCCTACCCATGACAGTTGCAGTGTTACTAAGAGCTTTAAATCTCAAATATCTGAGGAGTACTGCCTCTGTGGCCGTCACCCTCAGAGATAAGTTGACAAGTCCCATTAAAGATTGAAAAGTGTAAAGCAGTGACATTTAGGCCCAATTTACATTACTGCGGAACGGATTGGAAGCGAATATTTGTAATGATTTTGTTTTAATGATGTTAAGTAACCGGACGAACAAGTCACGCGTCTGGTGGTAATCGACACGCCTGTCCATAACAGATGCAGTGCCACTCAGAGTTTTAAATCGCAAAGATATGAGGCACTGCGTCCGTCACCCTGAGACTACTTCCGTGTGCCTGTAATTTCACCACCTTTACTCTTAACCTTCAAAACTGGAACGCAGTAATGCTCTCATTACTGATTGATGGCAGAAATAGGTAAGGTGCCAGTATTTCCCTGGACGAACTCTTTCACAAGGAGCTCTACTGTTACTAAAATATATAATAAATGAATACCGTCTTCCTAGAAATAAATAAAGTTTTATATATCTATTATTTCTCTTTGTTATTTCGTAGTGCCTCACTGCAGAGCAAAGAGCTTGCTTAAACCATTGCACAACTTGCTATTTTGAAAACTGTATAACTACTAACACAGGAAAAATGTTTAAACTCACCTTGGGTACGATAGTCTTTTGATTGTTTCTAGAGAAAGCATATTCCGAGTAGTGCATAACACTATTGTAGTCGTAGGCAACTCCAAACCCGTCTGCCGTCTTGGGATCTGCTTTTTGGAAGTTGTTCTCTGATCCTATAAAGAGGTAGAAAAGTAAACAAAAGCAATCATAATGTTAAATATATTTTTTTTATAGTATCAAGTGACGGGAAGGACGAGTACTGCGTCTGATGAAAAGCTACACGCCTGTCCAAAGCAGTTGCAGTGCCACTCAGAGCTTTAAATCGCAAAGATCTGAGGGGCGCTGCCACTGCGCACGTCACCCTGAGACATAAGTTGACAAGTGTCATGTGCCTGTACTTTCACCAGCACCCCTACCCTTCAAAACCGGAACACAGTAATGCTTGACGGCAGAAATAGGCAAGGTGGCAGTACTTCCTTGGACGAATTCTTTCACATGAAGCTCTACTGCTACTAACTATATAGCTATATAAATATGAATTCACCATCATCAACTCCTTATACTTCCAACTACTGGGTAACAACTAGGGTTTTCAGCTCAATGCATTTCTGTGTCCCGAAATAAAAAATATTGAGTGTATTTCTACTGTAGCGCATCGGGAACGTTCGATGAGGCGCGCGTGTATGACTTCAGCGCCTTACTGCGGAACTGGGTAGAGCGTGACGTGTACCATGAAGTACGAAATACGAAGCAACGATCATAGTTTTAGCTTCGTATCGGACCGGAGGCTACTACGAAATGCGTACGAAGATCATGATTTGACATAATTCCTTACTACGAAACGTCAAATGACAGCTCTCGTATCGAATTTCGACATTACTTTCATCTTAAAACATAATAAATATGTAATACGTATGAGCTTCGTTGCGGACGCAGTCACGTAGTATCGTATTTCGTGGTACATTTCCTGATGCGTAGAGCGCGAGGCAGTGCCAACAGCCTCCTTCAGACGGTGGCCGAGAGGGAAGATGGGCCAATACTGTGTCAATGTGTAGCTGTTCATGTCAAGTGTGTTAGAACCGTCCTTAGAGTTATTATTATTATTATCAATAGGGTGGCTTCATTTGGGGCCTATGGAGACCCTCATCACCGCGACCATTAATTGATCTATTGTGATTACCACTAATTCAGAGCCAAGACCAAGAGCATTAAGGAACTGAAGGACTTTCCTGGCTCCAACAGTTTGTATGTGTCCTCTGGGTGTGTTTTGTGCCTACCCAGTATGGAATTTCTTACGCCCATTAGAGGGCAGCACTGGGTGAGGAGATGCACAGGAGTTTCATCCGCCTCGTGGCAGAATTTATATTTTCTGTTATCTCTCTGCCCAATATTTGACATGTGCTTGTTCCAGCCACAATGCCCATTTAAGGCTCTAGTCAGCATTCAGAAGCCATTCCTGACAGCATTTTAGTAGCGATGCAAATGCGCGTTCATGAAATGCGCGATTACATCGCTACACTTGCAATTGCATCGTTGCAATCGCGCGACTGCATCGATACAAACGCGCGATTGCATCGATGCAATCGTCTACAAATCGCAAGTGTATCGATGCAGTCGCGCACTTGCATCGCGTTTGCATCGTTTTTACTGTTTATGAGTTTTACTAATATAATTTACAAGGATTACTTAATTACTCGCTCACGCGATTCATGCGTCCTGGAAGCATGCCACACCTAGAGGTGCCGGTGATGATTTTATACCGATTTATCGGATATCGAAGTTATAACAGGTAAAAGAACTAATACTAATTGCTATTTCGGTAACTACTCTAGCAAACCATAAAGTTTTTAATGCCTGGGTCTGTCATTTAAAAAAAATAAACAACTTCAAAAATACGTCACGACAATCGTGTGTGTTATTGTTTGGGCTGGTGATGTCGGTGTTTATTTATTGAAAACATACCGTAAGTTGCGTTTTTTAAGTTTACCCTGAATATAAATGTTTATAAACTATACTTTAAGGAGTAATTTCATGGTAAACATTAGAACCACTCAAACGGAACATTATCATATTTACCCAAGTACACCAAAAATTTCATTAGTGCTTTTTAAGTGCAGGATTTGCGGTGTATTACTGCATTTTATTTGAGATGTTTTTGTTGTAGCACGGAGGGTATTTATTTAGCAATGCAGAGTAATAATTTTTATTTTTAAAAACTTGTATTTAAACTGAACCCTTTTCTAATTTGCGAAACCAAATAGCCGCCATTTTGCGGTAGGATGAGCGCATCGCGTGAGCGGCTAACATTATATGGATATTTGTCCGAAATAGAGTAAATTATCATTATTTACATGGAGAGTAAAAGGCAAATGAATTTCCCCGCGTACATCTCATACGCTTTAAAACCTACGCAACCCCGATATCTTTTAGCCTTAAGTCTATGTTTCACCGGACCAAGGAGTGGTATAGTAAATGTTCTTACCAGAGCGTATGTTGTTATAATGAATATCGACATAGTCATCTCGCTCAGGTCGGCTCTGCTCGTGCATGAAGCCAATCGCGTGGAGGAGCTCGTGAATAACCGTGCCTTTCTTCGTCACGCAGCCTGGGGTTTGCAGGTTCACTTCTTGGCGACCACCTGAAAAACAAAAACAAATAACTTATCTACATGATATGTTGTTTAGAGACTTTGATCTTTATATAATCTTATGATGCTGACATTATTATCGGAGAAATCTAATCTGCAAGACTCTGTTGGCTCGAATATCTCGAATTGATGCCAGATCATAGTGCTGTGAAAAGGGCCTACATGTGTCGTCTGTCCTAGTGGACGACGATCGGAAGCTCGGCCCAAATACCGATGGAAGGACAAAGTACAGAGAGACCCCCGTGCACTACACGCAGAGCAATTTTTGCTAAAAACAGGCCGACGAGATTTCACGACGAGAGATCTCGTCTCTCCGCCGGTGGACAACCACTTTATATCATCAATATCACTTCATTATTGTTTTCTTTATTCATCACTATACTCCCTCCATTCGTTTAGTTATTGACATAAAGAGGTTTGTTGAGAATAAATATGATGACCCAGTAAAAACCTAAAGGATTCTATTGATTAAGAATCTTAAACAATTCAATACTTGGTTCAATTGATTAAGGATAACTTTTGGAATGTGGAAGACATGCTATAAGAAGAAGAAGGATATTGAACTCAGGAAATACCTAAAGGATTCAATTGAATAAAGATCTTAAACAATTGAACCCATGATTCAATTTACTAATGATACATTTTGGAACGTGGAAGACATGCTTTTTAAGTGCCATAAATCAACAAATTTGTCGTTAGGTCTCTGCTATAAAGAAGAAAAATGATATTGTATTGAGAGAAACCAGATAACTTACCCGTGCGTCCGACACTGGACCAACATCCCGTGTTTCCGCTCTGAATGGTAATGTAGTCCTTCTGCCCTTTATAGGGCACAAAGCGGAGGCATGTTAAACGGTGGTAGTCCGCAATGGCTCGCATTATTAACTCTCTCTGCTGTTGATCTATAATACAGACGGCATTTGTTTTTACCAATTTTAATAAAAAATTTAACCACGTACAAAAAGAATTCCCATAAAACCTCCTTAAACGACACAATTTGTTTGTCAAATTCCTTTTAAGTTCGCATTTTCTGTTATTTTCTGCAAAATGACAACTTCAGGAGAGAGGTTTAAAGATGAATGAAGACGAATGAATTAATACAGTTAATAACTTTTTTATGCTTGAATAGGAGACTCCTATAGATGTCCTAAAATTCTATGTCCGTTTTATTATTTACTTACTATAATATCCCTCAATTACATAGGGAATGATCCCATCAGGCCAGCGTGAGGTTTCTCCCTTTACCCCATTCCTCGTGGTTGGTGTTGGCATCAGGATATCACCCTCTGCGTATTCTCCCATCTCCTCAGGATTCATAAGCGAGGACTCCGACCAAGTTGATAAGGCATCTCCTGAAAAAGGATATCGAGGTTTTTCAATCATAATAGCTCATACACCTGTCTTTTAAATGTTGCTTTCGTTTCTTCATCCACTTCCCATTGAACCAGGGTTTGGCAACCTTTTGAGTTAGAAGACACAAAAATTACAATTTACAAAATTTTCAGTTTTTAAAGATCCACAAATTTTTTTCTTGACAATATTATAGTACTTACTTATATAAAAGTATTTGATTTTGATTTAAAATAAAAAAACTTGAAAATAAGAAGTAATATCTATTTATTCATACAAACAAATTAAAGTATTTAACTAGAAAATTAAAATAATTAAATAATGTAACTACAGACACGAGTACGAATGGCTGAGAGATAGACAGGGTGCCTACTCACTCATATATCCATTACACGATTTTTATTGGTTTTCTCATTGACTTACAATTATAGGTTTTCTTAATAAAATATTTAATATTTGCGTATGAAACTAAAAAGCCGCAACTTCACATCGAAATAGCCGCATGCGGCTCAGCCACTCAGCGCGGTTTGGAGTTTTGTGTATTCTTTGAGACAAGCATCATACGAGTGTTTTCCTTAGACTTTGAAATTAGACTAAATTGCTACAGTTGCTTCAAACACCCTGATAATCTACCTATTACATTAGCTTGGTGCTACGCTTCAAAAAACTGCAATTCATTATCAATTCAACTAAAAAAACCAGTTTACACAAATTGCAAAGAAAACTGCCGTTATATCAGTTGACACTCAGGAGCTCACGAAAGCAAGGAAATGACCTGTCACAGCAGGATCTTGTAATCGTTTCGTAGACATCTTTATCGACCATGCGACAACTGTCATGTTTGGTGGTACTAATATAAGTGGAATAAATGGAATATTACTTTAAACTTGAGTTGGAACATTTGCAGGGTGCTACTAAAAAAAACCGAGGCATTTTTGCTCTTGGATATCTGTCTTTATATTAATTCTTGAAAAAGTTCCGGAAAAACGGAGAGAGTCACGGAGAGTGTGTAAGGGAATTACACGATTGAAATCCTTCCCCTTTCCATCATCGGAGAACCAGATGTAGGCTCGGATTCCACCCTATGTCGTGGATTTTCCAAATAGTCGCATGAAGCGAAACGCTCCTTGGAATGCAACAGCTACGATGTGGTGAAATGCAACAGCTATGGTGAGAAATTCCCTGCAAAATTGTTCCCTGAACTGTATAATTTGGACCTTTTCAAGACGAGAGTGAACAGGCATTGTTTGTTGTGCATGCTCCATCGTCTCGACTTCATCGTCACTTTCCATCAGGTGAGATGAGAGTCAAATGCGCACTTATTTTTTAATAAAAAATAATGAAACTGTCCTGTAGTAATTAGAATACCATCTTGTAGCTAATATTAAGCAGTTTTTTTTAAGACAATGCACACTCTTAGACTTTTCAACTTGTCTCAGGGTGACGGGCGCAGTGGCGGCGGCCCTTTGAGCGGCACTGCAACTATTATGGACAGGTGTGACGCTTACCACCAGGCGCACGACTTGTTTGTCCAGTCACTTCATATCATAATAAAAAGAACTCATGCATTGACGTGGTAGGTCAATGAACTCATGGGTATATTTAAGGGTACGTGATAAAAAGGTGGAATTATGGTAACAATGTTCATATTATTAGCCACTAGACACGTTTACCTGAGCGTTTATTTCGAAAAAAAAAACTTCAAATCTTGTTTTGATTTCGATTCAACGTTCTGGTATGTCGTATATAGTTGTCATAATTCAACCTATCTTTTAATGTTCCTCTAAATATGTCCATGATTGCTTCTGGTTCCTAAGAACACTGGCTCGGCACTGTCATGGCGTAGCAACCCGTCCACTACAGCCAACGGCTCTCGTGAAACTGACTGGGTACTGGTACCCACGCATGGACACACGAGACAGCGTGTAGGTATGTGAAGTCGCATACACTACAAGTATATTTTGGGTTTTGGGACTTCACATTTTGGTTTGTAGCTCATGGCAAACTCATTCTATCAACAACTTATGTACAATAAAAATGATAGTAGCGAAGAATGTTCGGTTTTGAAAGCTGTCGTTTATACAGCTCAAAATCTCTATATGCGAAATGTGTTGAACGTTACTATGTCGTAGTATAATTATACTCTAGCCCGACATAGAACGTGTAATAACAAAACGTTGGCAACCAATGGCGGCAGAAGAAAAAACATTTTTTGTCAACGCTCATTATTTAGGCTAGCTCTGCCCACAGCCTGCTCACGTAATTAGAATTTAAATAGGTAAGTGGGTAATTTGGTTATGTTGAAGTATTACTCAATTATTATAAAGTTTGCAAAGTACTTGTTAATACATATGATTTAGGAATAAAATAGTTTAGTTTTTATACTAATTAATACTTACTTTTAGATATCTAGCAATACTATCTAGCTTTTATCTATATATTTTATTTCTACTAGGTACACGTCTCATCCAGTACCAATTTCCAATTCTAAACTTGAATTACTTATTGAACTCGTTTGTTTCGTTTCTTGTGCTGCCGTTTCAAATGCCTCCGTGGCGGTTACCATTCCGGACTGCCACGCAGAGGTCCCAATTTGTATGGCCTACATTTATTTCTCTCGTGAGTTTGGGTGTAATTTGTGGTTGTCTATGTGTGTGTCCATGGCACCCGCGACACAGCGTTTCCCTAGCGCGGGGCTACGTTGAGTGTGTGCGTCATTATTTATTTATTTATTTATTTATTACTACGAATGGGTGTCAAGTTCTCGATGACAAACCTCGCTTCAAAGTGTTCAAAGTCCTTTTCCAAAATTTTTATCGAAAGTAAAATAGTAAAACAGACGCATCACAAAGAGGTATACTTAACTATGTATATGTCATAATCATAAAAAATCCCAATTCTATCGAAGTCGTAAACAAAAAATATTTTTAAATCGATTTAGATAATATTGTTGACCAAATTCAAATTCAAATTTTAGCTACACAAAAAAGGATTTCAAATTGACGTAACAAGATTAAAAGTATTTCTACGTAAAAAATTATATAAATATGTGTTATTGATGTGTGCATTATTTAAAATATTATAATTATGAGTTATTCTTTGGTCCGAATTTTGACAGCATAATGAGAACACTGGTCTATAGACAGGATGGCACCTTCCAAAGGTATTGTTAAATTGACGGTTGTCGTCAATTGTTTCAGTTCAAATCGACCAGTTTAACTTGAGCTTTGCCATAATGGACGAAAATTGAAAAATTACAAATTTAATATTCAATTACCGATGAAATGTGATTCCGTTTGTATTGTAATTAGATGTTTTGCTGTTTTTCCCACACCACCGAATGAACCAGCACCTCATTGTTAGAGATATTATGTTTATTACAATAATACAAAATATTTTTGGAATATACGGAGATTACTATTTCAGCTTTCTAATAAAAAACTTCAGCGCAAACGAGAGAAGTGATATAAGGTCCAGTTTGCATGTTGAATTGGCAGGGAAGGATGGTCCTTATTTGGTTAGAGTAACTTAAAAAATGCATCTACCATTTCAAAGCATTTTTTAATCACTCGGCCATCGCGTACGTTACGTCTGTGCCATTATTCCCCAAAAGTTTCGATTTTAAGATTTCAAAATATCGTGTAGATGGAAAAAGTCGTTTATATTAGGTAATCTAAAAATCCTGAAACTCGCGTATGTGGGCGCATTAAAAAGCATGTCGTATATTTGAAGGCGCTGAATCGACATAAGATTTTTTTTTGGATATTATGCAAAAAAAATCGCGCTGTTCCCGCGCTTTTCGCTTTTTTTTTGAAATTGTTACACATTTTGTTAATCTAGAGATATTTTGGTCGCTGATCGTCTAAATACATAGTTACATTTATTTAATGAATAATTTTAAATTTGTATAATATTTTGGTTACCAATACAATATGTGTTGCTCAATAGTTATTTCTATGGGACACCAAATTAGGTTATTTTTCAAAATCTATCTAAAATTATTTGTTACATGTACCTACGAGTATGTATATGACAAGCCCTGAATAAAACTATCATTTTAACAACTTCTATCACACTGTGTGATTTGTTTGAGATGTGATTCGCACTTTTTCTATCTTATGGCTGGTATACACTACAATGCTGCCATCGGTCGTGGTGAAATTTAATTAAATTATGATATTTCCCTATTGTTGCGTTGCACAGTAAAGAAATGGTAGGTCGTACGAAGAGGCTCCTTTAATGCACCCCATTCATCATTAACATGGAGGTCCCGGGTTTGATTCCTGATAAGAACAACTAAAAAAATTCTAAATAAATTTCCTTACTTTGGTGCTCGTAGTACTGATTCCCTAGTTTAGCTTACTACTTACTTATTTTACTAATGGAGAATGTGTAAATGAATAAACATTAAAAAACTCACCACTCTCGTTCGATGGAAGCCCATATGCATGAGGTCCCAAGTGCGAAATGTCAATTGCGCCATCTTCACCATCAATGACATTGTCAAAGGCAGGCTCTATCACCACAGTGTCTTCATCATCAACCGGTTTACCGTTACTTAAATTGGTAAATCCGATTATAAGTAACGAAGCTGTTAGTAAATTTACAAACATTTTCAGCACTTTCATTACAATAAAATTTAAAAATTTTATAATTTTAAGATTTTTTGTCAATGAGAGTACCAGGCGCGTAGACGTCTCAAGGAGTTATGTTCCTACAGCGAAAAGAGAGTCGTATTTATATGAAGTATCAGTCATAAAGTAAACAGACGGCACCACGTTTACGCTTAGCGATAAAGGACATAACAAAAATTTGTAAACTAATCGATAAGGTGGAAACCTTGAGTATTGCTTTACATTTCCTTTATTTTTTTAATGAATTTGTATGAGTTGTTTGTCAAAATTTGTAAATCGATAAGAAAGGCTGGTAATATGACGGAACCCCTATTTTTGACATATGAACCCACCACTTCATAATCATTGAATGCAAAACAGCTGCTGGTAATAAAACTTCCCAGTTTGATGCCCGCTACGTGAATTACCTAACTATTCTCGAGGGATACAAATAGTTATTTTCACTGAAGACTGTACCACCTCAGTCAGCCGTGACCATGGGACCTGTAAAGGGCCCGAAACGTCGGTTTGTTTGAAAAAACAAATATACGCGATTTAAATCCGGAAAAATAGTTTCATTTCCTATGTGTAACAATCGCGAAAACCTAAGAACTCGATAAGATATTTTTCTATTCACCGTGAAAATTTTGTATTATTTCGGATATTTATTTTAAGCTCTCGTCGTTCCCATGAATTAAAAGAAAAAAATAATCATTAAAATGCATGCAGACATCGCAGCACTTTGAAGCTGGTCTAACTGGAATCCCTAGAGAAGACCTTGGGACCAGCTGTCAGATATAAGTTTTAGTTTTTCAGTAGATGCATAAATAGTACGCCGCTACCACATTCCGCAGCATCACTAGTAGTTAAAGTTACCTACTTTTCTAACTTTCTAACCATGGTTCATGATCCTGGATGGTCCAAAACCGTTACGAATTGGTCAAAGAATCATTTATTCCATAGGTAAAATAAATTTACACTTGAAAACGTCACATTTAAGCTACTACTCGTTCACTACGCTGACTTTCCTGAGAAGAAATGAGCAAGAAACTCTAGAGATTGTCCTTTTCAAATAAACTTAAATGCTATGGAATACACTTTTAGTAAAATTTGTGAAGAATCTAGAACTTTGTCGTCTTTCCATACATCTTTACCTAACACGTATCCTTCAATTTTGTAATATGACTTTTCAATATATGCTCCGGAATCCTATTGTAAAAACGTATACTGTTCCCCCATAAAAGAGTCGTTTACCTTGGTTAAACGAAATCGTGGTACCAAGACTTTGGACTTAGCTCTAAGATCTAATATTAGTATTATTGATACCCAATACATGGAAAGCGTAAACCTGAAAGTCCACACAAAAAATGGAGTGATGACATCGTAAGAATAGCAGGCAACGTATGAAGTAGAGCCGCTAAAGACAGAGAGAAGTGAAAAGAGCTGGAGGAGGCTTTTACCGCTGAAAAAGCGAGCCTTATACAGAACAATGATAAATAAAATCTATAAATAATATTTCAGCTATCTATCTACATACTAATTTAAAAAAGAAAAATACTAATACATATTAAAATTAAAATAAACACGAATTGTACTATAGAATAAGGCTAATATCTAAGTTATTACTGTTATTTAAGTTCAGAAATAAAGATTTATTATTATTATACTTTTCTAACTAGAGATCTACTCATATTGGTCCACCTGATAGAATCTGAACGTTTGGACAAGGTCAGTAAATATCGTGAGAATCTGCCTTGCAAACTCAGCATGATCTTTTTCCTTATAAAAAATAGGAAACATGATTTCGTACGTTGACACCCACAGCGAGGTCAAAACAGCCGGAAGGATTCAGCACGAAAAACCTCCACCTGTTTGTTTGTACACAGATAATAATGTAACATAATGCAATATGCGATGTTATATGGCAACAATTAGTTATTTTACAGTCATGTGTTGTGACCTTTGGAAAAAATGTTAGTTATCTTCCGGTGACTAAAGAATATCAAGGGGAGAAAATAATAGGTTTTGTAAACAAAACTTAAAAACAGCGCTTGTTTTTAATACAGCTGCTGACGTCATAGACGTGTGACGTTCAACAGTCGAGTTCCTCTGCTTTTTCCTTATTTTCCTCCTTGGAGAAGATCAAAGTTTTCCGTACCTAATACAAATGGGAAAAATTCTAATAGAATGTACTTATTTCGTTTCGTTTTTATTTTCGAGAGAGCTTTCTCTTTATTTAACCGACTTTAGCAATATCGAAAAGTATACTTAATATCGCAAACTCCTTGGTAGGACAGTTTAATTATATGTTCTCTATTGCACCAAATAATACATCAGAAAAATTAATTATAGAAATGGCAAAGGTGGACTTATCTCTAAGAGATCTATTCCAGCTAAGCTAAGGTAGTGATAACAAAGGTCATAAGCGGGCAACACTGTGCAAGAAAAGGGGTGGGAGAAAAAGAAACCAAGCATGTTAATAAACATAAATTTATACTTATACTTATGTAAGTATTATAAATACATAGATTATTAATTTAGTCTGTTAATTTATTAATTAAGTGCTATATAATTAATTGCCTCTGTTGTTTACTTCGAGACTATGATTGTACTGTCTCTCCCTTTCTACCCTTAAACGACAGTACTGCTTTGTGTTTCTATCCAGGCAGTTTCTCAGTATCTAATGGCCCCACCACTACGTATTTAAAATTGATACACAACGGGTAACTTTGAAGTTTTTCAAACTCGTAAACATAATAAACTTTCATGGTAAGTTAAAAATTCACCACAAAAAGCATGAAACTGCAGCACTGAATTAGATTGGCGTATTTGAGACACTCTCGCTTGATATGACACATATCAATCCCACACTAGCAGATTGCCCAGCTTCCATGGACCGACGGTCATTACATCAGACCTTTTGCTGCAACAGTGGCCAGTGGGTTGGAGTGCAATCGACACCTCGGTGCTCCTTTTTTTTATTATACCAAGTGACGGGACAAACAAGTCGTACGCCTGATGGTAAGCTACACGGCATAGCAGTTGCAGTGCCACTCAGAGCTTTAAAACACAAAGATTTGATGGGCGCTGCCACTGCGCCCGTCAGACATGTTGATAAGTCTCATATGCCTGTAATTTTACCAGCACCCTTACCCTTCAAAACCGGAGCGCAGTAATGCTCACATTACTGCTTGGTAGCAGAAATAGGTAAGGTGACAGTACTTCCCTGGACGAACTCTTTCACAATGCTACTAAATCCTGACAGATGATGTTAGTGAATTCTGCGAGCCGGACTTCTGGCTACCACTTTGTATGCAACGAGAACGTATAGTGACCGTGAGTAAAATAAAACAATAAATTCAGACAAAAATACTACGCCTTATTTTTTTTTTTACTGCCTCACTAGCTGAAAGATTACCATTCTGCTTTGTCTGACACGTAGAGATTCCGCGTGCGATTCCTGGGCCGGGAGAAATATTTGTATGGCCTACATTTATTTCTCCCGTGACTTTGAGCATAATTTGTAGTTGTCTATGTGTGTGTCCACGGCACCCGCGACACAGGGCTGTTTTTTTTAAATATCAAGTGATTTACCAACACCTGCTATGTAATAAATCCCTGCTACCAAGGGTGTGCGTTATTTACTTATACGCATCTTTAGTAGCAGTAGACTTCCTTGTGGAACAGCTCGTCCAGGGAAGTACTGCCACCTTACCTATTTCTGCCGCCAAGCAGTGGTATGACTATTGCTGCGATCCGGTGTTGAAGGGTGGTGGTGGTGAAATTACTAGCACATGGGACTTGTCAACTGTGTCTCAAGGTGACGGGCGCAGTGGCAGTGCCCTAGGATCTTTGCGATAAAAAGCTCTGAGTGGCACTGCAACTGTTACGGAACAGGCGTGTCGATTGCCACCAGACGCACGACTTGTTCGTCCCGTCACTTGACTTCAAAAAAAATGTAAATCATAAAAGGGTGAGAAAAATATATCACCACATAAACTCATTATTTCTACTTGACACTGCTCAATTTAATATTTTATTGCTTTAACCATAATGTTTAAAGCTAACACCGCATTAAGAACCCTATCGAGCACTACAAAGTACTCGCATATTTGGAGAGAGGAGAGGAGAGGAGAGGAGGAGATTTACAAGTTAGAATAGAACAGAATAGACATTTATTGCAACGCCATAACACATAGATACATAATCTCAGTACAGAGTGTTAAAAAAACCGATCTCAATAGTACGTGGAATTACTTCTATTTGCCAAGTTTTATTGAAATCGGTTACCGGAAAATGCGCAAACCCGGATTCTTCCCCTAGTTCGCCACTATACGGAACTTGACACATAAACACTTAATAAAAATCGGTTCTTACTACTCAAAGTATATTGTGAGAGAAAAACGCCATGAATTGGAGAATAGCAAAGTCAACCATTAAAATAATTGCTCCTTATAATAAAATTTAGGCGCTATTTATAAAAATGAATCTTCATGCGTGAACAGCCACCCCTAGAGGTGGATGATTTTCTTCAAAATTAAATGGAACCACTATGGAGGTACCCTCATTCCAACAAAAAAATAATCATCAGAATCGGTTCACAAATACCGGAGTTATCGCGTAACATACATAGAAAAAAAAGGCATACAGTCGAATTGCGAACCTCCTCTTTTTTGTGAAATCGGTTAAAAAAAAGAATATTTACAACATTAAAAAATTTAAAAAATAATAAACAAAATAAAAAATACAAACAACAACAAAAAACAACATAACATAGGACAAAACAGACAACAAAAAAATCTAAATATATCGACTACAAATCCTGTACTGGCATTTGTGCGGTTGTGGCGTACGCAAAAGGACTTCATTCAGATTATGCCACAGCCATAATTGACTGTGGTGTTTGTTTTCAATGCTGGTCACCGATTTAGAAATGTTGCTCTGTAGTCATTGACTTACAAATAAATAGACGACGGGTCTAATACAAAAACCACGAAAAAAATGTCCCAAGTCAACCTATTCGAAATTTAAATTGTAATGTCATCGCAGTATCGCGCTGTCAGTCGAACAAATGAAGACTAAAGCGGAGTTTGGCGCTCTGTATACGATTTTAGCGCCTTACAAGTGCGGAAACTTTTTAGCGCGGAACCGACGTCCATATAATTGTAAGTCAATGTCTGTAGTATGTTAACGTTAGTTCATCCAAGGTGACATTTTCTACAAAAAGTCTTTATATAGCTATGGTAAGAAACTCACTATCTTTCTGCAGGTGAAACTCAATAACAAAAAAAGCTATAAACTCAATAAATAATTTTATTTGCAGAAAGATGCTGATTTTCTTGCAACAGGTACATAATTTGGAGATTTTTTTTTTTGTTTTGTTGTATGTGGTTTTACGTTTAAGCAGACGATATAATAGCATTATTTATTCAAAAAAAAAAAACCAACAAATCTTACGACGTGACACTAAGAAAAGTGTTATCAGTTATCACTTTAATGACATTCGGCAAAATTAAATTTTTAACAATACGGGACCCGTATGGCTATTCATGAAAATTTACTATAGCATCTAGCCGTAAATTCATTAAGGAATAGACAAACACGAAGTTTGTTAACCTGCCTCTATTTTAATCAATCTACGCGGCACAACGTGTAGTAAAAAGTACAAGTGGAATTTAACGATTGCGCGTCTAATATTGAACAGCGTTAAGACTCAATTTACTTTACCACGGCACGAAATTTACGCGCCTATTAGTAACCATAGCATAATAAACTTTTATCTCAGTTGTGTAACTTACAAACTAGATATGACATAGAAATAAAATACAGCACAATTCTGAATTAGAGGCTCAAACTGCCATAAACACAAAAAAAAATTAAATTAATGGCGCGTACGACAACCCGCGCTATGCAACGCGAGTGCACCGCGAGGTTATGCGAACGTGTGTAATTCCGTACATAACACGCGGGCGTGCACACATGTAAGCCGCTCTGCTACGTTTGTATGGAGTTACTATACTATGTGCTGTGGTAGAATCATCGAGTATATAACCAGAAATAGAGACGAAACAAGGGCCCTCTATCCCTGGCAACTCATCAGGCAAAAGGGGCCTTGTATCACTTTTAAATATCAACTCTCGTCGGCGCTGAAATAAAAAATTAGAAAGCTGAAATATTATAGCGCCAACGACTGACCTGTGTGTAGGTACCGTATATTCCAAAAAAATTCTGTATTTATTGTAATAAAGATAATATCTTTAACAGTGGTGGCTGTTCCATTCGGAGGTGTGGGGAAAAACTGCAAAACATCTAATTACAAAATAAACGGGATCACATTTCATCGGTAACATTGACTTACAATTATATGGACGTCGGGTCCGCGCTAAAAAGTGTCCGCACATGTAAGGCGCTAAAATCGTATACACAGCGCGACACTCCGCTTTAGTCTTCATTTTGTTCTACGGACAGCGCGATACTGCGATGACATTACAATTTAAATTTCGAATAGGTTGACTTGGGACATTTTTTTCGTGGTTTTTGTATTAGACCCGTCGTCCATTTATTTGTAAGTCAATGATCGGTAATTAAATATTAAATATGTAATTTTTCAATATAGGTCCATTATAGTAAAGGTCAAATTAAACTCGTCGTATTGAAGTGAAACGATTGACGATATCTGCGCTCCGATTGGCCAGCCCGAATTGTAAACAATCGTGTTTAGGATTCAAGTTGGCCAATCGGAGCGCAGTTGTCGCCGTAATGATTTGGCAGCATAGTTTTCAACAAACTAAATGACATTTCGTCTCTATTTCTGGTTATATACTCGATGGGTAGAATCCACTCTACAATATACAGGGTAATTTTTAATATACTAACAACCTCGAAGGAATTTATTACTAACATCACAGTAGCAGTAGTTCTCGTAGTAGAAGTACTGCCACCTTACCTATTTCTGCCGCCAAGCAGTAATGTCAGCATTACTGTGTTCCGGTTTTGAAGGGTAGGGGTGCTCGTGAAATTACAGGCACATGGGACTTATGCAATTATGAATTGATGTGATTTATTACTATAATTTCCCAACAACAAGTACATCAGCAAAAGTTTTCATTTTACAGGTAATTTTTAGAATGAACGGGCACAGTGGCAGTGCCCCTCAGATCTTTGCGATTTAAAGCTCTGGGTGGCACTGCAACTGTTATGTACAAGCGTGTAGCTTACCATCAGGCGCACGACTTCTTCGTCCCGTCACTTGATATTATAAAAAAAATCATAAACAACAACTTTGTTATATGATTTTTAATTCGTCACATTTTACTTTATCACTCCACGTTTAGAGTGATCTATTTATATATTTATAATAGCTCTGTGCAGGACGGGGGTGAGAGTTAGCGCGAAGGACGCTTGCACGTTTAAACTTACAGATCAAAAAAGTGTGAGATACTACGACAAAAACTTAAAAGTTTATTTTTCGCTAAATTTATTATGTTTTCTAAAAGTCATGGAACAAAAGTTGTTGTTTATAATGTTAGAGTAATATAGTCCTGCGAAGATTTTAGTATTTTAATAATTACCCTGTATAATATTACTGTATTATCTGTGATATTACCTATTTGTTAAGAGTCTATATAACGTCAAATGGCTTTGGTTGATTCCGCATAACATTGAATCACTTTGGAAAAAATATATAATAAAATTGAGTTTATACACTTATTACTATACGGTGTGAAAACACGATTCCTAAAAATATTCACGATATAAATTTGTTTGCCGTAAAAATAACCGTAAACGCCGTATCATCTTGCACCACGATAATGCCAGTTCTCACACGGCCAAACAGACAAATGAACTTTTGAAGGTGAACAACGTTGACCTTATGAGCCATCCCGCGTACAGTCCCGTCCTGGCAACTTGTGACTTTTATTTATTTCCAAACATTAGGAACCAGTGACGCGGTCAACGATTTTCATCACCTGAAGAGGCTGTCGAAGAGTATGAAAAATATGTTACAGAGATTGTCACGAACGAGTGGCATAAATGTTTTCAAAATTGGTTTATTCGTAAGAAAAAGTGCATTAACGCTATCGGAGAATATTTTGAGAAACAATAAATTCATTTCAGACCATTTATAGTATATTTTTCTTATTCATTCCGGAAACTTATAGTGCGCCACACTTATAGTATATTTTATAAATGGCTCTCATATCGTTTGTAAAAAAATAAATTCTGACATAAAGCCAGTGTCCCTACCGCTCGACCCAATAAAATGAGCCGTTTAGTACGGGAAAAATTAGAATTCGAGCTGAGGGAGTCTAATGGACGTATTCCAGAGCTCTACTCAATGCTCAAGTCACGACTTGAATATGATTTAAAGCACTAGAAATTATACTCAAATCCTTGCGTTTAGGGTCGTATTTCCAGTGCTTGAAATCAAACTCAAATCCTGACTTGAGCAATGAGTAGAGTTCTGGAATACGACCCATAGACTCTTAAGATTATTAATATACTGTTCGTATTCTGGATATGAATTACGACTTAAGGCGTGGTGGACATGAGAAATAAAAAAACATATATATTTTTTATGTAATTTCTTGTGTATTTCTAACATATTAGAACTTTATACACTACGTCATTTTATTTACATGAGCATTTTTGCTTCTCAATATTATTACAATTAAAATAAATTTTCTCTCTTCATTATATTATTTTTACATATTTTTTTTACCTATTTCTTTAGGCAAAGTGACAAAAACCATTTCACTTTGAAAGCAGGATAGAAAAACTAGATTTATATATATTTTTTTAATTTATTAAAGCGTATAATAAATAGTGAAATCAAAATTAAATAATATAAGGAGCGGGCCCCATTGGTTTATAAAATCGTGACCAACTTCAATGTAAAAAAATTATGGATGCATAATCGAAAGTAAGAACAGAGTTAAGTATGTATATGAATTGTAACAAATTCTCAAAATTCAAGAAAAAGCGTAATTTTAAAATTAGTTTTGTTTGTTTGAAAAATTTTATCACGTAGATATTGCAACAGTTTTTTTGTGTCTTGGATCCATAGATTTAAAGCTCAAATTTGCTGTGATTTCCTAATCGAGAGCAGTAAAAAGTATCCGATTGTCATAAAATCAAAAGGATTTCAAAAAAAGCAGTTGGCACAACATTGCTTTGTAAACTATCACCACTTGGGAGCAAATAATTAAAACAATGCCTAAAATATATGTTTTTTTACAATTAATGCTGATTATTTTTGGTTACATTTAATACGGAGCAATAAACAGCATCAACGTTATAACATGGCAGAATTATTTGCTCTTAAAGTGGGTCTCTTTTCAACCCGAATATAAAAAAGCGAAATAGACATAAAGGGCTGACAAGTTCAAACATGACCAACGCCATCTTGTGGAATTTTAAGGAACTAACTTCTAATAACAATGCTAATTATTGACGTCAAAAGTCGACACTAGCGCCAATATTCTAAGTCATACAGTAAGTAAGTAACTCGTCAGCCTTCACAAAACGCTTAACATTGCTAAGTTAACAAGATCAACGCCCATTAGCTAAACTTAACAACTGGTGAAACAGAGAGCTTTAATAGTTACATTATCCCTCGAACTACCTAAATAATCACGGAGAAACTAAAAAAATATTCCGTCGCGTATAAAACACCGTGTAACTTCTTACACCCTGGTACATTATGCGAAGATATAATTTCTTAGTTTTACCGAGAAGATTACAAATACTCATTCTAACAGTTAAAATTGTAGGCACACTGTGGGGACGGCCGCACGGCCCGTGCCAGCAACGAAGACCAGAACATTAATAATTGTGACCTGAGGTAGGTAGGTGTACCATTAACTAGCTATGTCTCCCTCTGACGAATACATAACAACGAATGCGAGAGGAAGTCGGCAATAGAATTTATCTTCAAGCGTCTTAAAAGTCCTGGTCTCCCGGCTTTCTATCACAAGATGTTCATTTCAAATGTTGCAGTTTCGCGACACGCATAAGCCACATAATTTTATTAGCTAAAATTTAATAATTATTGACTTCAATAACACACTTTTTTTTTAGAAATTGACAATACCTAAAAGACATCTTTGTACAGAATTTCCAGTACTACAGCGTTGATCACAGATTATTGTAGAAAAAATAAACTTTTTTTATCCTGTTAAGACTATATATAACAAGTACACTTTATTCTAATTCTACGATTTCACAATAACGGATTCGGCATAGTCGTCCAAACGGCTAAAATATATAGGGTGTATAATTAATTACTCAATCTTACTCAAAAGAACTTACCGTACATTCGACCCCACTTTTAATTTCACATGCATTTTCCTACCCACTTGTTCGGCACTTAAGTTATAAGACAACTTAACCTAAAAGTTTTATACATGCTATAAAGTAAAAGTGTTATCCACCGTACAATAGTTAACGAATCTTAACAGTTTGGGCGTCTATACTAATTTCATATCGCTAAGCTAAAATGATATAAATGGGCTTGCCATTTTGAGGTAACCGCTCCGAATTACTTTCCAAATTTTGATCAATATTATAAAACTTTGCTCCCTATATCTACTGGCTTTAAAACTTCAATAAATAAAAATAAAATAACATTACGCCTACTTTGATATAAATTATTGTAGGTCATCACATTATGGAATTGTTTTTTAATTTTTCGTAGAAAAATATGAAGTGATTTTTTTTGGCCGGTTGTTTCTTCATTTTTCATTCACTACTTGTCACTTTGCTATCACCAGCATTAAATAAAACTGACCATTTACACGGACCAATAAAACAACAGGACTGAATATCAGAGCTTCCGATTTACTATGCCATCTATAGGATGTAAAGCGTACTACTTGGACGAACAAAACTTTCGTAACAAGTTGCCCGCTGATTCTAACGCCATCTAGTAGTAGTAGTAGCAGTAATACCGATTTTTTTCTCGGTTGTAGGATACAAATTTAAGTATGGCAATTGGCAGTCTTCTTGTTTCATTGATCGATGATAAAACTGACCACTAAGTAGGTATTGCATAAATATTTTTTTTACATACGCGCGGCCTTAACATAAGACCGGTTAAGTTGCGTTCCTATCACACTCTAGCGAGTTTCTTTCTCTTTTTCGCACATATTTCGGCTAAAGTGTGAAAGGGAGACGAATGTAACCTGTCCACCCTAAGTTTTCAAGGAATGGTTGCAGTCCCTAAGCTCACAAATGAGATTTTCACGCAACTGAAACTTGGCATCGAGTTTTCGCCACTCTGAGACAAATGTTATTTAATCTCTCACGCACCATTACATATAACAGAATTATTGCTTGTAAATTTCCTTTGGCAGTGTACATCTGACCAAATTCTTCCCTTTCTAATTAAACTTAAACAGACCGGGCGTTATCCTCGTGTAAAAGCGTGGAGAACGTCTTGAACGCCGTTGCAATAAAATGCTCCTAGACAGTACCAGGCGATCATAAGGCATAAACGGCTATTGCTTTTAGGCATAAGCGAATGAGACAGTTTCATATTTCCTTCAGACCTAGCGCACATAGACGGGGCAACTATATCTCGGATTTCTCTTTCACTCTCATCAATACAATTGTTGCTTATTCACTCGCACTCATGAAAATAAATTCACCAACATCTTAGTTTACGCGCTAGGTATACCGGATATTTCCGCGCTGATCAAGTTTCTTGATATCAGGCGTTCATAAGGCGTAAGGTGCTCGTCACCATTTTGTGACAGTAGAGGACGAACGGCGCGGGAGGAGACGGTAGCGGTACCCTCACGTATTAGAAGAGGGCGGGGCGTTGCTGGGAGCAGGTGCAGGCGGCGGGGTATGTGCGCCTGATACCACCACCACAGGTTTGACTATCGTGGTGGCACTAAGATACTGTGCGCTGACCGTTAAAGGAGTTACGCTGCCTTTTACGACTTGCGTTTCTACCATCTGAAAATAAACAGAATAGGACATTGTGTGTTAACCCCTTCATGGACAGTAGCGGCGTTCATCGTAAAATGAAAAATTCGAATATGGACAGTACGGGGTATCCCGTTTCGATATATGGATCTTATGTAAACTAGTACGGGCTTTACCGTGCGAATTGCAAGTGCTTTCCTTATAGTTACCGTCTACTGCTTCTCCATAGAGAAGTACCAACTATGTACTGACAAAATTAAACGATTTATTTGAGATACATTTGTGCACGTTACACACACATATTTAATATGTGCACACTTAGTCAGTACGGAACAATACCGACGTATTGCTATTCTCGACGACGCTATTCTTCTGTAGACAATGCAACTCGAACTAAAATGTTATAAAAGGCACAGACGCAGTCACACTGTATTAGAAATTAAATAAATAATTTCCAAATTCTAAAAATACTGCCGCATTTAAATTCACAAAATAAATTTAATAAAATATAGTTTAATAGAAAATCTTTAGTTTTTTTTATATACTTCAACTTTATGCAAAATTTACGTTCAGATTTTTCGAGTATAAAAACTTTTTGCTTAATCTTGACGTGAAAAAGCCATAGGGCGATAATGTAATGATAATGAATGGGCCAGTGAGCATAATTTAGGACTTTACGGTCGACTTTGCCTGTATGGCATGACACTGTTTACAAGCAAGTGTGATTGAAAAGGTTAAGTCGCCAATAATACTACATACACACATCAAAAAAAGTTTGCGATCACTTCGAAAAACTGAAATCTTTTTTGTTATTGTAGATTATATTATGATTTTTTTCTTCTTTTTAGATTCTTTATTTAAAAATAAATTAGAACATAAAACAATGACCCCGTTCAATTGTTTTTTCATATAAAAAGGCTTTCAGTCCTAGCTTACGCTCATTCAGAAATCTGATTTAGTCAATTATAAGCGATTCAAGATATTTTTCGCGGAAAGTTGTGATTGAAAAAATGCCCAGAGGATTATCAGAGGTTTTACGAGCTAGAATAGTAACTTTGAGGGAAGAAGGATACACCACGAGAGTAATAGCACGCAGACTTGCTATATCCCAATCCTGTGTCGTGGCTACGTTGCAGAGGTATCACGGAATGGGGAATTTAGCTGACCGACCCCGCAGCGGTCGCCCAACTGTTTTGACAGCTGCCCAAAAGCGCTATATTAGATTGCTGGCAGCCCGTGATCCAACAATCAACGCCACTAAAATAAAAGCAGAAGTCAGGGCCGCCCCTGGGCTTGAAGTTAGCACGCAGACCGTTCGCAATTGCTTGCACCAGGCTGGATTACGAGCACGGAGGTCTTGACGAGCTCCGCTCAATTCCCGGCAACGTCAACAACGAAGATTGCAGTGGGCTAGACTTCGGCAAAATGAAGAAGGTGAGGACGAAAACATTTGGCAAAACTGTCACTTCGTTGACGAATCCCGATAATCGACGTGTCCGTGTCTGGAGAAGACCAGGCGACCGTGAAAGACAAAGAACTGCCACTGGAACAGTTCAGCAAGGCGGAAAATCGGTGTCCTTTTGGGGTGGCATTATGATTGGAGCTAGAACGCCTTTGATCCCGTATCGGGGCTTCATGACAGCAGACATGTACAAAGCAGTTGCTATTGATGATATCGTCAGACCATTCCGAGTAAACCATGGGCACCAATTTGTACTAGTCGATGATAATGCGCCCGCACATCGAGCTCAACGAGTCAATGCTACTCTTCAAGAATACGATATCACACGATTAGACTGGCCTGCCGGCTCGCCCGACTTAAACCCAATAGAGCACGCGTGGGATGCTCTTAAACGAGCAGTATGGAACCGTGAGCCACGTCCCCAGACAGTTCCAGAGCTCAGGGAAGCCGCTATTGAAGAATGGGATAGGTTACCCCAGGAAATGCTGGATAACTTGATCCTCAGCATGCCCAGGAGGATCTTCGCATGTATTCGAGCCAGGGGAGGAGTTATTTTATATTGAATTCACACCTTTTAATAATAAATTGTTGTTTAAGTTTAATTAAACAGTCTTTTTCTTTCTATGAAATTTCTATCACTATTACATTATGATTAATGGCTCAATTTTTTAAAATAAATAATAAAAAATAGTTTTATATTTTAATTTCAAACAGGGTATTCCTATTTAAAGAAAGCATACAACATAGATTTTTTCTTGATTAAGTTAAATTTAAAGAATTATAGGAGCTTATGCTATTGATCGCAAACTTTTTTTGATGTGTGTACAGTGTCGCTATTTTAGATTGCATATTTGGACGGCATAGCCTAACGTTCTCAACACAAAATTGCGGCTTCTTATATAGCTCCAGCCACTCACGGTACTACCGTTAGTAATATGAATATTATAAAATACAAATAAGATGCCAGTAATAACCCTAAATAGTTTGCAACATTTTAGACCTTATGATTAACTCAAATTCTGTCACAAAGAAGATACCTACGTACCTTATGCGCGAGCGTGTGCGTATGCAGTAGATGGGCATGTGGGTGAGGCAGCGTGGTGCCTTGCGACACCACTAATGGACCCAGACTGGATACTACTACACCATCTGTAATAAATAAGGAAAACAAACTGAAAATTACAAACGTTTTGACATCTGTGTGCTTCTATTACAAATAGTATAGTTTATTTTGTAGCCAGCTAAAACTAAAAGCATTCGGAACATATTGCAAAAAATGAAGTTGAAGATTTTGACAATCGAGATAACACAATAAAGTTAAGAGTATTTTTAATAGACTTCAAAAAAGGAGAATGTTGTCAATGCGATTGTATTTTTTTTTTTGTGTATGTTACTCGATTATTTGATGATTCTTTTTTTGTTGGAAAGAGGGTATCTCGGTATTGGTCCCATTACAATTTGAAGAAAATATTCCACCTGTGGGTGGAAAATTTGGAGATGAATCCGGTTACCAGAAAGTGCGCGACTTTCTGTTAACTCTTTAGTTTCAGTTCATATAAGCAAAGTTTGAAGTCGGTTCCTTTTTTTTAAATAAAAATAACTTTACTGAAAACAACTCTACTCCGTAAAAATTAAGTTTGATTAGAATGGCAACTTTACAAAATTAGAGAACGTCAATTTGTAGCAATGTCCTAAATTTTTTTTTAACACGACGAAGCTATAATTATTTTACATTATTTACCACTCATCAACTTACGATCATTGAAATAAATAAATCATTGTTAAATCACTTTTCTAGTTAATGTATAAATAGGTCCATGAGTTAATGACACTATAATCAATGTTTATTTGCACAATCTCACGCTATTTAGTATTAATTTTTGGATTAAATGGATTAATGAACCTCACAAATCTTCCAGACGAGAAATAGCTTTGCAGAAATTGTGAAAATGTTACTTTAATGATTTCAATTTTCTTATAAATTACTCGTGTCTTTTTGAGCTACGGTATGTTATTTTCGAAATTAAATTGTGTATTTTTGGTGAGTTTTTATCCAATGTTACTACTATGCTATCATTTCGGTGAGCTTAGTTATTTCTACGGATATCAAACATAAAATTAACAAATTGGGGTATCACGCCTATTCGACAGTTATTACCATGATATTATAAAACTGATCAAAATCCTTTCGGCAGTTTAGGACCACAATGAGAAATGACACATCTTCAAATAACCACTTCTACAAATGACCACTTCTTGAAATTACTATTTCTTTAAATGCTACTTCTACAAAAGAACACTTCTTGAAATGGCTACATTTTGCATTGACCAGTTTTACAAGTCAATATGTTTCTGCATTGGATTAGCAGCATTATCACAAGTTTGACGATGGACTTTTAAGTATATACATTAGATATTGCTTATTATCGGCCTGGAGAGTAACGTCCCTTCGTCCATCGCAACTGGATCTCAAAATGGTTATTTTACAAAAACAGGCAAATAAAACATTTCACTTTCATTTTTAGTTTAGATAAATGTCTGGCCAGTGAGGGTCCTAAATTAAATAAATAACGCACACACTCAACATAGCACTAGGGAAACCCTGTGTCGCGAGTGACATGGACACACACATAGACAACCACAAATTACACCCAAACTCGCGAGATAAATAAATGTAGGCCATACAAATATTTCTTCCGGGAATCGAACCTGGGACCTCTGCGTGGCGGCATGATGCCGGCGGATGGTAACTGTTCGACCACGGAGGCAGTTATTAAAATTGGCGAAAGGATCTCAAAATAGTAAGAAACCAATTTATAATTAAAAAAATAAATGGTCATTTCAAGAAGTGGACAATTCAAGAAGTGGTCAATTCAAGAAATGGTCAATTTGAGAAGTGGTCATTTTGATTTGTCATTTCTCAAAACTTTGAAAGGGAACTTTGACGTGCGTCTTTCTAATCACGCAAAATTTTACTAAGTACGTTTGTTAAGAAGCGCCATCTACAAATCTATGCCATTAACTAATCTAAATAATTGCGTTTAGTTACTTATAAAGCCACTAGATGGCGGTACATGAACATGTCTAAGAACTTAGATAACTTCGCAGACAATAGTATTTACAAATAAATGAAGTGTTGTTTACAAATAAATTATTACAAAAAAATTATATTAAAAAAAATAGCTCACCGGCTGGCACAGGTGGAGGCGACACGATGCCATTTTCTTTAGGGATCCTATTATTCTCTCCTGTAGTCACACCTATAAAAAATTATGGATTTAAGGTGGTTTTTATCCGTTGCAAGGCATTAGTTTAACTAGACCGCGTGGTGGATTAACAGTTACGGACAAGGAGGTAGCAGAGAACCAGTAACTACGATTAATTGCTTCAGTATCGTACACTTTACAAGAAAAATCATCAGACGAATGGCAGCAATGTCTTTGAACCTTAGCTTTGCCAATTGACCAGCTAAGGAGGGTTATGATTTCTCCAATATTGTAGTGACTCGTATCCAACAATAAAGGAAATATAAATGAAAGGTGTAGGATCCTTTTAAATCCGTTTAATTGTATTCCGTAACACTGGTTCACTTGGATACAAAACGGCTGACCACAACACGTTCAACCTCGTCGAGCTCAGCTACCAACTGACTCACAGATTACGTCTATGTCACCATTTGTACACGTAACACTACAGAATGTATTGTAAATCTACTAAGTAGATACACAACAACAGGAATCCAGAAAATCTCTGTAGCCATTCAGAAGCAAGTATACCATTAGCCTGCACAGCGGGAGCTTGTAGCACCCGTAGGCCGGCACCTGCGGATAGCAGCTGCAGCGCCGCGCCTCCCACTACCAACCCTCCGCTACCTACCATCTGGAAACAAATGGTTATTTTTATGATATTTAAAACTAACTATGTGGCGGCACAACTAGCCACACCACGAATTATAGCGGTGCAGGTGACTGCGGGGGGGTTATGTGCGAACTTGGGGTAGTCGGCCAGCGAGAGCGTCAGTGCCCACCCAAAGTTCTCCTACTCCCGATTGTTACACGCTGTATAAGCCACAGACAAAAACGTTAACTGGTCTAAAATCTATATACATTAACTTTGTTATACATTAATTCACACTGTAGTGTCAAAGTCCGGTCGTTTACGGGTATACCCACTCGTAAACCCACTGAAATCGGAGAGCAAGCATGAAACGTGTGTCAACACTCTATCCTGTTAGGTGCCCATAACTCTTCCGAATGTGGTAACAAGGCCTTATCTACCCCCATGGGACTAGGATGGTGCACACGCTGAGAAAGAACAGTTTTTAAGTACTAATTAAAACATGGAATATCTTAGTAAGCATCTAGACCTTCTGCCCATCAGGTGCTACATGTAAATGTAGTTAGTAGTTGAAATTAATATGTAAATTGTCACTTTAATACATAACACACAGAAACGTTGGAAAAATATATAAAAAAATCCAATACTGCAAAATAAAACATCACCTAAAAGGACGACCTCGATGGCCCAGCGGTTTGCACTGTGGTCACTTGATGAGGACGACCCAAGTTCGATTCCCGGTAGGATCAATTTGGGAAACGAACTTTTTTAAGTTGATTGATGTCTGGGGGTTCTGGGTCGTGCTCCAGAGTGAATTCCGTTGCTCAGGTATTACAAGGACTACTTTGAGACCACGCAATTAGTGCAGTTGTCTCGCACATTTATTATTATAGTGTTCATTTTCTTTCAATGTCACTTTTGTATCAATAATTAAATAAATAAAAGAATATTCAGTTGCGAGTTTATGGTTTCTTTTTGTAGCGCCAAATCTGTCGGACATCAATTGCGCGATTTCGGCGTTACTAATGTTTCTCGTTAGTTTTATAAAATTAAATAAAATAAAAAATCGTTACACCAAAATTGCTATCTCTCAAAGAAATTATAGCTCTGAGCTAGCGACGAGTACAATTGTACATCATGGTGCCGGGACTTCCATTTTTGCACAGTAAGCATTAATTTATGTTGTCTAAGGCCTGATAACAATAGATTTTCTTAACAAACACGCACATTTGGTTGCCACGACATTTACTCTGATTTGGTTTGGCGACTAAATCACCGAAATGGAAACTCATAATCAAATGCTAGTAACGATCCCCGACGATAAGCTAAAATATTCATTGACATATTTAGAGGAACGCCAAAGGTTGAATTATGATAAGAACGTTCATTTGATCCACTGGCCACATATACCAGGACGTTTATTCGAAATCAAAGGAAACGGTCTTATATACGTGTACATTTAAAGTAAGGTTGCTAACTGACCTGTGATAATGGTAAATGTATTTGAGCCGGATGCACCAGAGTTGTACTCAGTGCATTCGTCACGCCGTTCTCTGCTGGTTGACCGTTCTGGAATTAACATTTAAAAAATTAACAGTGTTATGGGCAAAGTCAATTTCCATCAGATGTAAAGATGAAACGTTTACAGATTTTAATGTTTAGTGGCGGCGTTGTATGATATGACAAATCAAGCTCTGCCGACCACGAAACATGAATTATATAACTTTTTTATTTAAAAAAACGACCTTCCAAGTTTTGATATCGGTTACCGGAAAGTGCGCGAAACCGGATTCATCCCCTAGTTTACCATCCTTAGAGATGGAATATTTTCTTCAAATTTAAATTATTTTTTTTGTTATAAAAACTATTTAATTATTAAATAGCAATTAAAAAATAATAACAAAAAAATCATCAAAATAGGTTCACAAACCTACAAAATTCCAAGTTATCGTGTAACATACATACAAAAAAATGTAGTCGAATTGAAAAACTCCTTTTTTGAAGTCTGTTAAAATATAGTGTTATTAATAAAATACACTATATATATATAGATATCCTTTGGTAGTACCCATTTTGCATATCCCAAATTTCTATTCTTAAGGTTGTCTGGTAGAAATGAGTACATAAGATAGCTTGTTGCACATTAATTTACTATTGTTATAATTAAGTTATTGTTCTGTGTTGCCGCATTAATTTTAGTAATCGAAAGTTTTTAAACAAAAAAAAATATGAATTACCTGCGCGGCAGTATCAGCCGGTGCGAGAGTGGTAAAAGTCAGCGTGTTATGTCGCGCTCCGTACGACGTTCGCACCACCTGATCGAAGTAGTTCACGTTTAGGGAGTAAATATAACTACAATTACAGTAAAATAATTTGCTACTAGAGGGCAGCACTAGCACTTTAAAATATAGACAGTTGTGTGTCTCTACCAACCTTAAAACGTTTTAACGTAACAATTAGTATTTAAATATTAATGAAGTAATTATATATAGATTTCAAGACTTTCGTGGTTATTCACTAAATGATTATCACTAATATCAGGTTTCTTACCACGGTATGACTTCTTTTTATTTTAAAGAGGTAATTATAATTTAAAAGTAACGAAGTTCGCGTGTTCTCAGTATTTTAATGCCTCTGGACTAACATGATTATGTAATGAATTTAGGTAGGACAAGTCAGAATTTATTATTTATTCTTTCTCAAAATCACCAACAGTTTCCGCAGTGATTGAATGCGAATAACAAAACACGTCAATACTAATATTGTTACAAATTCGAAATTATAACGTTGAGTCACAAGGACTTACGCAGAAAATGTAATTAAACTAGTAATATACATTTAAAAGACCAAAGTTTCGTTCTAGTAAATTCTGAGTCGAAAATCTCTCTTCTCAATCCTAATCCCGAGATTAGGTCAGCTCTAATTTCTAACAAAGTACCAGGAGAGCATACCTGTGAGGTAGTAGGCGTTATTTGAATCGGCAGCGTGCGTAGCTTCGTGCTTAGATTCAACGTCTGTGGAGAGGAGGTATCCATCCGCGTTACGGAACTGGGTGGCGAGGAGGTAATCTGAAAGTAAGGTTTAATATCTTATTAGATTGTGCAAGCAAGTATAACAGCGAAAACTATTTGCAATTAATTATTATAATATAACTTACACTTATTGAAGTTCCTAATAATTGTCCATTTACTTTATCTTCCCTATCTTTTTCTTCAGTTGTTGGATCTGAAAATTAAAGTACATTGTAGGTCACAAAACAAAAATTAACAAACATACAGTAACAAAATCCACATTATACAAAAAATATAATTAATTTCTCAAAGGTGTTACCGAATATTATCAAACCGACAACTATAAACAAACAATAAAGACAGTAGTGAGAGTTGCCAAAACTTGCTACTAGATGGCGGTGCACGTTACCGAAACTTTTTTATATATTGAAAATCCACGTAACCCACCGCTTTTCAGTTATTGATTGTGATAAAACAGTTATTAATTTCGATAATAATCATAATATAAATAAATATCACAGAATAATAATAAAGCCAAGTGCCAAATATTAAATAATCTCGACCAGATGTACCAGGAGAGCAGAGCTTGTCAGGAGTTTTACGTACCGATGCTACGCGGGCGAACCGTCGCTCGTACGGAGACCTCTCGCTTCAACGCGGCCAGCCGCTGTTGCGCAGCGATCTTCTCGCGTGCCAGTCGTTCCATCTCGTGCTCGCACTCCCGCTCCTTACGACGAAGCACCTGCGAAAAAAGTACCAGGCGATCAGAGAATGTTAGAAGCCGAAACGCTATGTTACACACTTGCCGAGTTCAGTCAGTGCAAACTCGGTTTCTTCTGATAATTCGCTAATCTGATTTAAACGCAGATAGAACTCGTTCTGTACCGTACATTTACTGTATATGATTTTATGACTACAATAATAATGTAGGCTTGACACACAGCATGAATTTTTTCCTTGTTGCTTATACACAGCGTGTTAATGTAGACGATTTTAAATATATTTTGAAATCCACGGACTTACTACGTACCATAGAAGACCTGATTTTTAACATAAAACCCTTCATGGATGGTAACAGCTTTTACTGTAAAATTAAACAATAGAATAACGATCTCTATAGTCCATTTGTTTAAGTACTTAACTAAATGTAAACAATCTTGATGCATCTTTTTATTGAAACATATGCTTTAACGCGGGGCACACTATAAGTTTCCGGAATGAATAAGAAAGAAATTCTATAAATGGTCAGAAATTAATTTATTGTTTCCCAAAATATTCTCCCTTAGCGTTAACGCACTTTTTCATACATATGTACCAATTTTGAAAACATTTATGCCAGTCCTCCGTGACAATCTCTGAAACATATATAACAGCCTACATAACGACAGCCTCTTCAGGTGATTAAAATCGTTGACCGCGTAACTGGCTCTTAATTTTTGGAAATAAATAAAAGTCACGAAGTGCCAGGTCGGGACTGTACGCGGGATGGCTCATAAGGTCAACGTATTTCACCTTCAAAAATTAATTTGTCTGTCTGGCGTAGTGCGAGAATATACGACGTTTACAGTTACTTTTACGGAGTTTGTCAATAACTTCCGGCAAAGAAATGGTCGTGTACCAATGACTGTTCACGGTACAACGGTTCTCCAAAGCAACAGTAGCCACGTGTCCAGTTTTATTAAAAAAGAAGCAATCATCCAGTTAGATGCACTTTGCACGCGCGCCACTTAGATTGGTTTCGGCTCATCTCAAAAGATCCATACGCTCGATTGCTGCTTTGTTTTGGGATCGTAACTATAAATCCATGTTTCGTCACCTGTTACTATGTCCCACACCAAATTCGACGCCCCTTCGTTGAATCTGGTAAGCATGGCATTGCACCAAGTGAAGCGATCCGTTTTTTGAGCCTCTGTCAAATTAAGTGGGATCCACCGAGAGCACAGCTTTTTCACACTCAAAGTTTGTGTAGTATTGATTGTATTTGACTCATGCTTATGCCTAAAGATGCCCAAAGCTCATGGTATGTCTGTCTGTTTTGATCATACTGCGCACAGCATCGATGTTTTTGTTGTTCATAGCAGTGGACAGGCTACCATCACGAAATTCGTCACTGAGATTCACACGACCGTGTCTGAATTCTGCAAACCAGCTATGATGGTCGTCTTGCATGGTGCATCATCGCCAAAAGCAATTTGAAGCCGAGCGAAGCTCCGCCGAGGTCTTAATTAGACTTAAAGTCGTAGAAAATCATACTATGAAAATTTTCACGAGTTAATGGTGATGTAGACAACCAATTTCTAAAATGACGCCACAATGTACAAACAAGTGACAGTCAGATGAAACAAACTGTATTCTACAGCCAAAGAGTTCCATTTTCAAATGCTATAATTACTTTTTAAATATTGTTTATGTAAGTGGCCAGTTCCAGAAACTTTAGTGCGCCCTATGTACAAATCAATAAGTACAAAAATAGGCATGCAATTTCATACGAAGCTAAGTATTTGTATTTTGCATTTGAGAGTAAGTAAAAATCATTTTATAAATATATATTTCATTAAATAGACATCTCAAGATTTTTTATATTTAGTTAAGTACCTTAACAAATGGACTATAATAATAATATTGGTATGAAAAACCAAGTACGGGCTTAACAGTGTAATTTCCAAATGCTTTCTTTGTAGTTGCCGCTTACTGCTTTTCCCTAAAGAAGTTTCAACAACCTACTGACAAAATGCAATAATTTACATACATTGAAAATGAATAATAATAATAATAATAATGTGGCTATAACCCCGCACTAGGGAAACCCTGAGTCGCAGGTACAATAGACACACATAAACAACCACAAATACACCCAAGCTCACGAGAGAAATTAATGTAGGCCATACAAATATTTTTCCCGGCCCGGAATCGAAGCTGGGACCTCTGCGTGACAGTCCGGCATGGTAACCGATCGGCCACGGAGGCAATAAATTGATTCATCACTAAGCACTATAGCAAGAAAAGTACTGATATTATTGTGTGCGATCCTTTTTAAGTATTGTGTGTAAGTACTATGAAAGGGTTACCGTATTGAATGTGTTTCAGGTTTCTAGAATAATTAACGATAAAAACAAAGGTCTTTCTAGACGATCGCCTAAGAAGTTGCGGCAAATAAAACTTCAATAATACTCCGTCTCGAACAAATTGTTTCGACATAATTGTTTGCCTCAATAAAACTTCTCAACAATTAAAAAATTACACATAGAAGCCGTATTTTAACGAAAGTTCACAATAAGTTGCAAAAAACAGTACATTGAAACGTATTCAATAAAAAACAAATATTTGGCAAGGCGCTCTAACCACGCGATTCACGTGGACGGAACTAACGCGACCTACTTCATTCTGAAAAGTTTTATATAATTCAAATATTTATTGGATAGAAGGGCAAATTATATTCGGGTGAAATTTTATTAGTGATCTTTAGTATCAGAGATGGTAACGAACAATTTAAAATACGGAGAGTTTGTGACATCGGCATCGCGAAAGGTTCAGTTGTAAAAGCGTTTTTATTAAATGATGTTACAATCACATAATAAACTTAAAACTAATAAATATCAGACCATATGAGCCAGGAATAAGATACGTTTTCAAGCAACTCATTAAGTAGCGTAGTTCGCGTCCTTTGTAATGGATACAAAATAATAAAAGTTTTATTAGCAATACATACTCGTATATATCTAAATACCACCTTAAAGATATCTGTTACGATAAAAGCTCCGTAAAAAAGTGTAATAGAGTTACAATTCTGGTGCATTATATTTTCAATTTCGCTTTTCTACTGCAAAATAAAGATCTACTTAGAAGTGCACTCCCTAAAACCTAATATAGAGTTTTAAACATTACTCGTACTTAAATTGTTTATGGAAAGTACAGTAGAGTTGGCATTAGCGTATTTTTTTTTGCACAGTTGCAGTGCCACTCAGAGCTTTAAATAGTAAAGATCAGAGGGGCACTGCCACTGCGCCCGTCACCCTGAAACATAAGTTGACAAATCCCATGTGCCTGTAATTTCACCAGCACCCTTAACCCTTCAAAACTGGAACACAGTAATGCTGACATTTACTACACCGGATGAACACTTTCACAAGAAGCTCTACAGCTACTAAACTAGTACTGCTGCATATAGACAAACCTCGCCAAGAATACTGAAATTTTACTACAGCTAGTCGTGTGGCACTTCTTTATGACTAGTGACTGTAGACCAATCTCGCGTGACGTCATCTTGGATGTAAATAATCAAGTTGAAAAGCTTTTGGTCTTTGTGCTCCTGCCGAGCCTGCTGAAAAAACTAATACTCCAGATACTGGAGTATAGTTAACAGAGCGTTAAGTTGTACACTTTGGACTCCGAGACTTGTAGATACAAGTGAACAGGAAGACGTGCCGTTGTATGTATATGTAATGTATCTTTTATTATAATAATACACTGTCGATGTAGATTCTAAGTTTTAACAAAATTCGCACAACAGCCACGTATTGGATCATTGGTTTCAGAGAAGTCCTGAATAGCAACGGCCCTATCGATTGATTACTTGTTACATTTGCAACGTGCCTCATTGCTGTATATTTACTATTCATACCTATAATAACCGCTTTAGCCTATATTGTTTGCACACTTAAATATGCTTAAATATTAAATGATCTCAAGAATTTTCTTAACAAATGTATGATACAGTACGCTTTGGAATAAGATTGGAACTTTAAGACAAATAAAATTGCCGGCAACTTAATAATTAATAATAATGTGCTAGACAACCACACCAATTATCTCAAATTAGTTAGGACCAATTTGAGCATCCAGCGTCCAAAGTTTAAACCATTAGGCCACCTACTTATCGAAACCTCCTATTTATCATTTTAAAAAACCATTAAAATTCGGTAATATAGTGAAGATGGAACGCCACAAGTCGCAAAAACAATAATCATGTAATAACAAAACACAAATAATAGACGTACGTGATAGCAGTACTGAAACTACATGATGAATAAATAAATTTGAAAACCAGTCCTTTGACTAGAAACCTTGGGGTAATCAGTCCACACGGGGCATAAATAAAAGCCATGATATATAGATCAGGGTTACATTGTAAAAGATTCAAGAATTTTTAATGATAAAATTTCTTTACACTTAATTTTAATCCTTAAATTGATGGCCATTTTGCCTATTTTTATTACTAATACTCTATCGTTCATAGATAATTGTAGAACTACATTCAATTTTTTTTTTAATCTATGAATTATTATATGTATTGTCTATTATTTTAAGTCCTTGGAACACACACGAAGCCGAGTGTTAAAAGTTGGGACATTTGACGTCATGCCAAGACACAGAGATCGCGCTTGCAGGAGTCACCGTGACGTGATATGAACTCTATCTTAGACCGTTATTTGAGAACCGCGTGACATAATTTTATTATAAAGTTTAAGAAAATGCCATTGACTTTTGTTCCTAAATTATCTCATTAGCATTCACGTATTTTTTTCTTACAATATTGTCAAATAGTATACCTTACATCGCTCATCCTTTAATTTCCTACTGCAATATTTGTCTGAATGAGATATAGCCTAAAAGGAATTATGATACAAAAAGCCATTTTGTGAACACACCGAATATACCAGAACAAAAAATCATCATAATTATTGAATCACGTGTTTGACTTCTGTTTAGAAAGAAAACCAATAATAGACTAGTAGATATTAAATGGACATAGTTAAAACTTAGACTCAATGTACGAGGAAAACCTTGTTACAAAACCTATTGATGATCAAATTGGACGTGCACAGAATGGTATAATGGATACAGGACTGCGTAATGTATGTCAGGTAGGACTTTAAAATTCCTATAGAAGAAAATAAGGAAAACATGAGTTTTGTTAACGATTCGTTTACGTAATTAAGTAATTCTGATCAAGTCACATCATGATTTGACCCAGGTAATTTTAGATGGCGTGAAAGAAAACATTGCATGAACATGCGAGAGCTTTAACAAAAAAATACAATAGGTTTTCAGACTAACTCACCTGAATATACCGTATAGCAGACCCCAAGATAGAAAGATTTGAGGTCTTCTTATCATCAGAGGTCGCTGGCAGTTGTCTCTTCAGGAGTTCGAAGCATTCTTTGAGATGTGCTCGGCGGTTTTTCTCTAACTTATTGTGAACTTCGCGTGTACCGGCGCGGGGGGCGCTCCCGCTACTGCTTCCGCTACCACTGCCATTGCTGCCCACCGAAGGGGGTGAGGGGATTTGGGACGGCCTGGCGACCAAACGGTAACGGTTAAGTAATAATCGTGATAATATTTGCTTAGTTGTAAAAAAAGAGCTTTAATGATAAAGAAATCGATAGAAAATAGCTAAAGGTTTAACAAGGTTCCTTCAAGGGACCATTATTTTTTAATATTTACGTTTTCGATAATATGTGAAGAGAACAGGAAGAGTAATGGGAATGTTGTAATTTTGCTAAAATAAACATAATACACAGTCCATGAAATACTATTACGTATATATATAATCATAAAGAATTTATAATAGGTATTCAAAGAAAAAACACAAACAGAATTCGAAGTCCCGTACAGATCTTACTCAATCGGACTTCTAAAACAGTCTGCGAAGTCAAATACCCTAACAGTATTCAATGATTTAAAATTACAAATTTTTATTCTCCATTCGTTTCAATAAAAAAACGTTGTTCATGAATCATGACTAAATAATCTACGGCACCTTAATTACTTACTGAATCTAGTGAGTGAAATAACTAACTTTAAGTCCTTGGGAATCGCATAGATAAACCTGAGGCAAGATTCGGCATAGATCTACAGAACCAAGAGCCAATCTTACATAGAACCACGTTTCAATATCTCATAAGAGTAAAAAAATAGATCATATGCAAATAGATGGCTCACTATAAATATATTATTAAGATGAATAACAAACATCTTTAATATTCTACTATATGCGTTTAATTCCACCAAACCTTGACAGCAATTTCGAGAAGTTGACGATATCCCATATGCAAGACTAGGAGAATATTATTTGCATGTGTATTATACGCAAGGATAAATTAGCTATTCCATTACGACCCGGTTACATTCATTGGATTTAATTTTTAAAATGGGGTGTGATCTAGATTTCTCACATAAATTCACCAAGCAAATGATGTATGCTGTACAGCCATGAGATTATAATTGTTTTTATTGCATGAACATGAGCCGATGAAGGCCGGTCGCGGTGGGCTGTTATTATGAAACATTATGCATTTATGTTTGTTATGACGTACACACGCTCCATATAAAAATACTGTATTACATAATGCTCACGGTGATTCAGTAAATACATACCAATACCGTCCCGTCGTAACTAACTCAATAAACATTGAAACGGTTTCGTAATACATATTTGGAGGGAAGAAAATTAATTTGTTTAATAAATTGAAGCCTAAATGAAATTTTAATCTGATTCCAACAAAGAGATAAATTTTCTAACAGTGAATACGAGTATAACATAACTATGTACATAACTTTTCACCGGCAAGAGTTACATAATCTAAAGGCATATAAAAGAATATTTTGAAATAATTGGAGAAATATTTGAAAATTGAATACAATATAGGTAGAACAGGTGAAATCTAAAAAGAGAGGATGTAATTCGCCACAAGAATTATTGTTATCATCGAAGAGTTGCTGCTAGTAGTCGAATTTGACGAAATATCAGTAAAGAAAGGCGCCAAACTCTGGGGCTTGTTATCTCGGTCATTGTGTGCGAGCGATGTCGTAACGGCACGGCACGAGCGGCGGTGGAGGCTGCTGCGGCGGCGGCGGCGGCGCTGCACGCGAAAGCGAATCCCCCAGCTGTTTCTGACACCGGTAATACCAGGACAACATACCCATGACTGTTGCTCGTCGTTCGCGGCCTGGAATGTTCTTGTACGAAGTCGAGGAAGGAGGAGGGCGCGGGGGCCGGCTCGGGCGCGGGGTGAGCCACGGGCGCGGGCGCGGCAGCAGCGGGGGGAGCTGCCGCCGGCGCGTTCGGTGATTGCGGCCGCACCACGCCGTTGCTGCGCGTCGTCACTGGCAGTCCTGCCACCCGCACCGGCACCAGCGACTTCGGCTCCTCCTCTGAAACAAAACAGCAACACGTCACAATCGCTCAATACTTACACTGATTAGGAAAACGATCATTGAAACCGTCCGCAGCTGACGCGCTTCGAACGAGTCGCCCTCATCGGCTGCCGGTTTGCGGTCGCCACTTGTCAAACCCGTGTCAACCGCTCGTCGACGGCTGCAGTCGGAGGCGGTAAAGTACCAGGCGGTCATAGCGTAGCGGGAGTTCAATGTATTCGCGCGAGTGAAACCGCCATATTAGTGCGAGCGAGACGCGTGAACCGGTACGACGCCATTGAAAACTAATGACATGCGATAATGACCCTTAAGTCTGCGTTGGAAGAGCTTATAGTAGAAGAAATGTTCTAATCAGTCACGCTGCATCGACGAGCGAGACAAAGAGATAAGCGTGGTGTGTATGGAAAGAGACGGCGAAATGGGCGTGTTTTGCTGGAGGGCTGACGTTAACACATGTGGTTGTGCGCGTGGTCAGAGTTTGACGTCCGCAGTTGCCACGCCGAAAATCAGCTGCTGGGTAGAGTGCCAGAAAAAAACGCTCGTGTAACCGGTATTCTGTAAATACTCGAGTCTTTATGTTTATATTCGCAACGCGTTCAACAAAATCGATTTAGTTTTATTATTAGACGCAAATGAAGACCACTCATAATGTTTGGAACATCTGCGGCTTCATGTAAACAAACGCATGAACATTGTAGTGTAACATTTAAAGTGGCAGTTCATTCCGAAGAACAAATAATGCAATCACAATTTACACCGTTCAAAATTTACTACATTGTCGCACGCTGTCGTCGCAGCTACGCACGCATAGATAGCAAACACACACATGCAGATTTCAAAGTTGAATAACAATCGTTAGGTAGAGATGTAATAACATTTTTTTCCCCGGCCATTGTCTGGATATTACATAATATTCAGCTAAAAACACGAAACATAATCTAGCAGATACTTAAGAACACAAAAAGACATGTAACCTTGAAGAATCAAACGTATTAATAGTATCCAATATAATTTCCTAAGAAATGAAAAGAACATGTGACGTCGAGAAAAAGATGCCTAAAGTCATATAGGTATAATCGATTTAACAAGTTTCTTTAACTTCTCAATTTCACGTTTCAACGACATATGACCAAAGAGAAGTGATATAAAAGGAGCACATAGAAATGAGATGTTATTGACCGTTTCGCTTATTACCTAATAGAGTTATCAACTGTGGTTACAGAGACACCTAGACTTTGAGGAACGTCCTAACTTTATAAGTCTTCACTAACCCCTTACTCCCGAATACAACAGGTCTAAAAGTGTTGCATAAATGTGTAAGTATATAAATAGTTTGCGAATAACAACCTTCCAAAGATGCGAGCCTAACAGCGACATTATCGGAACAATGTGAATGATTCACGACACGATATAAAGTGAGTTTTAGCCGATTTATGATCGACACCACGATATATTATGTAGTAATCTGGAGCTATAAGAGCATTACCAGAGCATTGAAGCTTGAACAAGCACATGTCAAATATTGGACAGAGAGAAAATAGACAGATTCTGCCACGAGGCAGACGAAAGGCCTGTGCTCTCCTCACCCGGTGTTGCCCCCTATGGGCGTACTAAGCGCGTTTTGGGAAAGCACAAACCACAATCAAAGGATATAAAAACTGTCGAAGCCAGGAAAGTCCTTCATACTTTAATGCTGTTGGCCTTGACTCCGAACTGTAATTACTGTGATCAGTAATTACAGTTCGATTGTGATGACTCACAATAGAACATTTAATGGTCACATTGATGAGGGGCCGCATAGGTCATGTATGAAGCCAAAGTAATAATAATAAGAATATAGGTTATAATGTTGGGTCATTCTAAATTCTGTTACATCCAAACGTCTTTACATAGATTAGATGGTCGTAGTTTGTGCACACGACGAAGTATCAATTACCTGAGTGAAAAAAGCGAAACTATCTCCGTATTTTTTTGAAAACAAACAAAAACCTGTATTAATTGATTCACATTTATTCTTCTCATATTATTAGATGTTATAATTATTATTACGGAAACAGTTCTCAATTTAAAACATTTGGAAGTAATCAGAAAGTCTGTGACAAATAATCTGTTCACCATATTATGCTTAGGAAATCTGAAATTCAGCGAATAATTGAAATTGGTTAACAAGCAAATTAAAAAGACTATATGATCAACTCGAAACACGATAAAGCAGTTCTTAAATATTTCAAACTAAAATGCCCAGTCCAATAGATGTTAAAGAAATTAACAGAAAAAAATTGGTTTCCACTCGTATAACTCTAGCGAAAACTTCAGATAGAAAAAAAAATAATTTGATTAATATGCAGTTGTATGATACTAAAAACAGCGAACAATAAAATTATAGACATCTACATATAGGGGGGAAACTAACATAATAAATAAATCTAAAAATCTCAAATCAATCAAATCATAATTTCGCACTTATCAAAAAATTTATAAAACAAAAAAAAAGGCTTGAATACTATGTAAGACTTATTGGTTGTCAAACACAGAAAGCACCAGAAATACAGAGTACTGGGGGCGATTATGCAACAGGGTGGAGTTGTGCGTCATTTATCGTCCTACTGCTTACCTCCATAATGTGGGTGAGGACTCTAATCAAATTGATCTAACTCTCCAACGGAGTAATGTCTCCAACTATAAGGAAATTCTACAGGTATACGAATCTTCATATGAATATATTGTGGAATTACGTTACACATGTTTTTGTTCTCCGAATTCCGCAACTTAATATGCGCATTTGCGATATTTCATTAAAATTAATAATTAAATTTTACAGGTTTTCCATAAAAACCGCACTTGCATCACAAAACTGAACAGCCGCTAGGTAAATTTTTTTAATTCCTTATTTTATTCCTTATCTGTCTCATGTATTTTGTTTCTTTAATATAAGCATATCCAAATAACTACACGCGCACGATTGGTGGGTATTAGATAATGTTATCGTTAGCAAATTTATTCTCAATATTGTTGTCATCACAAGTTTTTGAGTAGATAAGAAATGTCAAAACAATAGCTTCTTTATTGTATTATCAATAATATTGTCAAGATAGTGTATAGCATCCATTAAATAAATTAATAACAGAACATTAGCATACAAACCTCAGTAATGGCATAAATTTCGTAGTTCGCGTGCTGCTATAGCGAAGTTTGAAAAGCGTCAATGCGTAAACCCATAAATTTCACATGCACAATGGTATATAATCATAATTCACCACTGATACATCATAATAGCTCATATCATCCCTTATCACGCTATTGGACATGAAATCGCATTTTACAAAAATGAACAACAAAGAACATGAAATTATGAAACAAAAATTATAAATAACTTTTTGCCGTCCATTACTGAACTGATTACGACGTACATTCGTGGTAAAGGGGAAAATTTCCTCACTTCACGTGACATAGGAACAAGGAAATTATGAATCGTCAACCATTTTAAAGGAAGTAAGCTTGAGCAAGGTTTTAAGGCTCTTGCCCAACACAAAAGAAACAAAAAGTTCTCTTGTTACGTGATGGTCGCCTGGTATACTTGCGCATGGTTGCGCGCGCGTACAACCAACAAAGCACATCTCTGCGAAGAAAACATCTATATAGACAACCATAAGCTACATAGTACACTACGTACACACAAAGATGTGTGAAATCGTGTGTTCGTTCAGACACCAAGGAAACCGGTATCAATGCAATGGTCCCGAGTGGCGGGCGGTGGATGGCGGCGCGGCAGCAATGGCGTGGCGGCATCTGGTACACCGATGCGAAACCGGTATCTAAAATACCAATGCCAAAGCAAAGCGAGTGTCGCGCGACCAAATTGCAACATTGCAGTAGCTGAATAGTTATATTGACCTTACAATTTCTAGAGCGCAGACGAATTCAATCCAATAATAGTTGGATTATATTTAGATGTGTAGAAAGTTCAGTGTCACAAACGTTATATACATATAATAACATTAATAACATTCCAATACGCGATTTGAAATCGGTAGACGATGAGACATTATAGTATTTTCTATTCAACGTATCGGAAGGTGCGTGTAGAAATTGAATATTGCAAAGAATGTGGCAAATGAGACGGCCAGTGTACCTCGGTGGAGGGAAGCGAGGGGGGTTTCTGGTCTGGAAGTGATAAGCGGGTAATATGATGGGGTGGAGGGGGAAGTGCTCGGCACTGGCACGTGACAAGCCGTCACGCGGCGCGAACTCTCCCGACCGCATCCGATACAACATCGAAGGGAGAATACATACACTATATAACTACTCACACATGCACGGTTTAAAAGACAAAGCGTCGAAATAAAATTTCATGCAAGATCAAACATTTTGATACATACACACAGAACAAAGGGTCCTTGTAGTGACTGGACATAGTAGGGTTATTGATGTAGGTCAGCTTTACCGTCGAGGTGGCGACCGGCTAGAGAAATGGTGAGATTACACGCGTCGGATTATTTGAATCAAATTGCGTTGGAATATTTTTATCGTAGTGTCAATAACCCAGCCGCGACGAATGCCGCTCCACATTTTTCACAACGCAACGCTTCAATGCACACACACGCGTGATAATAAAATAATTATTTTATTATAACAATACTCAAGCACGGAATGCTGTTACTTAATTATTATAGAAAGTAAATACGATTTACGACAAATATTTCTTAGGGACGAGTCGTAGTTACATAATAGATACCAGGGAGTCATAAAATGTTAGGAGTTTGATCGTTATGGCTTAGCAATTTGCGGTTCTGTGATGAAGTTCTAGAACACGATAGCCACGCAGAGCACTAATTGCAGCTATAGGCACATGCGCAGTAGGAGTTCAACCAGTACTATAAAAAAACCGACCATTAGATAAGTTATCACCAATGAAAACAAACGCTGTAAAATTGTTGTATTCATATATTTACGAGAGGAGAGAACGTAATGCTTTATTTGTAATTTTAAGTTACCCGAAAATTGTTCAAAACAGATAAACTCTCACAACTTAATTAAAATATTTTTATGTAAGTAATGTTTAGAACATTATTTTTATTGAAATTTTATTCATACGGTGCAAAGTATGAAAGGTAATAAGGAATAGAAATCAATATTATCCAGATCTAACAGGAAAACGACATAATGGACGGCCATATTGCTAATTTCAATCGAACTTATGACGTCATAATCTCGAACCTTCCAGAACATTTTCAATTAGGGATCCAGAGCCAAAGAATAGTTGCCTTCATAATTGTATTATAAAGTAAACTAAACAATCGCCATAATATTACGCAACGCGTCGCGCGTGGCGTTATTTAATTACAAGTCGGCATTATTACGTAATCAGATCCTATTTCTATGATTAATAAACAAATGCGTCAGAAATTTATCCAGAATAACAACATCTTCTGCATTACATTTCAGCTTTACTTCTGTATAGGTACTTAAAACAAGCTTAGGCATTCAAAAGATAAACATTTTGGATTTGCCATAATTGCCTTTTGCATTTTCTTGGAGGGATTGAAATTTCAACTTATATCATCATTACAAGTCAAAAATGCCACACCAATGACTACAACGACCGATACACGTGTATACCATAGACATAACTAAAATAAAACATCTGAATTATTGCGCCCGAAATCATTGTACGAAATTTAACTAAATATAGAAACTAAACTGAGACCCAAACTAGTTTTTGCGCATTACTTATTATTAATGAACCAACTTTACTATTATAACTCGCACCTTCATAGCACGTAAATGGTTGATGTCACGCAAGTAGGTTTTTAATTTGAAAAAAATTTTCAGTATCCTAAAAAATACTATATTAACGTCTACAGCTTCCAAGTTGTCTAAAGTGTATGTTGATAAAAATGAAATAATGATACAAATAAAACAGGGAAAATGGTTTCTCCGTTTGGTATCCAGTATTTCCTCGGATGAAAAATCCCAAACAGACTAATTAATATGTTTTAATTTATTCTAATTTCTATTACTAATTAATAATAAATTAGACTTAATAAAAATTCATTCAATAAAATAATTTGTAAAACGTAATGTAGCGTAAATTGGAATGTTTTCTTTGTAAAATTAAAAATAAGGTATTTAATCAATAACTTTTGTAAATACAGTGAAATAAATATATACATATAATATTAATATTAAATAAATATATAATATTAAAAAATAGGGTGGTTTGCATTAATATTAGATATAACTGGTTGATGACTGTACCATCTCAGTCAACCGTGACCATGGGACCTGTATAGGGCCCGAAACGTTGGTTTGTTTGAAAAAACAAATATACGCGATTTAAATCCGGAAAAATAGTTTCATTTCCTATGTGTAACAATCGCGAAAACCTAGACTCGATAAGATACAAATAACTTTTTTTCAGCCGTTACTAGTCCAGTGTAGGGCAAATGAATCCCTTTCCCTTCTTCCATTCATCTAGCTCATCACGTCTCTTTTTGGGCCTTTTTTAAAGTATTTAAAAAAAAATGCGTGTTATAAATGCTTGTAAATCAAAACCAATGTTATGATTGGGACAGTTTTGTTTTTCAATATCAACAGCTGTAATCCTCAAAGCATTACAAATTTTCTATAATTTTCACAAGTACCGATTTGGCAAATAATAACCTAACGAGCACAATTCCTTCAAAGTATATCATCACAAGCCAAATATTGACAAATAGCATTGCAAAATCACATAAGTGTAACAAATGAGTACGTGTATTGATGATATTCTAATTATAGACGACCGGGTTGATTGTAATTGAACTGGAAACTTTTCAAAGGCAATTACTGTACAGCTAGGCGTTGTAAATGGCTCCTGACATCAAATTAAGGGCAATGTATTTAAAGCTTCACATGTAGTCAAAATTAGTTACGGTCATTTTAAAGAACCTGCTCATCTAAGATACAATAAGTATAGAGATATACAAATCGTGCTTTATTTCTATATAGAAAATGGCAAGTAAAAGAAAGCAGATAATCTAAAAAGCTAACAAAAATGGGACTGAATCCGGACCTTACGGAACACCTTACGCTATCGCTGTGGTATACGTGCTCGCAAGCGTGCACATGACGACCTTGTTGGTGAACGCGAACGCCTTGACGGGACCGGCACAACGTGCCACCCGTTCTTGTTTGGCTCCACGCCACTTCTGATGCCCTGATACTCGTACAATCCCCAAGGGATACGTGTAGTCATCCTAATTGAGTATTTTAATTAAAATTCAAAACTTGACTCGGAAATAATTGTTACGCGAGAGTGTAACCGTCTCCGTTTATTATACCAACACAAAGGATCTTTGGGCTCAAAAATTTGTAGATATAAAGCAATGTTATTGTTGAATAATTTAAATAAACACGTTACACGAGCCACCAATCAATAGTACTAATATAACGAGTTTTAAATGTTACGATAATAATCATAAGCATATAAACAACGCGCATTTGTCATTGACGTAGCTGACGAACTGTTTAAAAATATGATATTAGTGATAATATGATATTAGTGATAATCATTTTGTTTAAAAAAGTTTATGAATTTTTACAGCCATTGCTAGATGATATTTGTGCAGTAGTTAGAGTGTACAGCATCGCTCAAAATTGTTACTGTAGAGCGTGTACTTGTATGTTGTTGTGCAAAAACACGCCGAGGTCAGACGCAAGGTCCTACAATACTGCACTTATAAGATTCTGTACGCGACGTGTTGAATCAGGCAACAAATATTTCCGTGGTTTGCCATAAAAAACCGACAAAACGAATATGTCGAGAAATATTTTATACACCATATAACGGACGACTATATTAAGGACAAAAGAACTCACCTAGGTACTCCTTAATCCATTTCTTTTTGGGTGGCCTTGTGATCTTTTGATCATCTTTCGTTTCCTCCTTAACCGGACTGGGAGTATGACTTGACGTGGAGGGTCGCTGGACTTCTTGGACGTAAGTAGCATAATGAGGCATTGGTGCAAGCGCCGTCACCATTTGTTGCGGATAGCTGTAACCATTGATCCCCATAGACGGGTGGCCATGAGCTTGCAATTGTTTGTACGTCTTGAGCGTTATAGGGATCGGCTCCACGATACTGCCAAATTCTGTCTCCATGGTATTTATGGCGATGGTGTGAACAGTCTCCGCGAAGAGATCACTGGGAGTTCCCATTGCGCCAAAGAGCTCCGGCTGGGCTCGGCGGCCCCGGTAGCTGGAAGTGCCCAGATTTACTTCGGTGGTTTCCATAAGTATACCCATTCTATAATAGGGCACAAAACTAACTAATCACTTTATAAGTTCCCATTTCACTCACTTGCGTCCTACATACCATTTTGAATATATTTCTATAAGTCAGTTTAAGTCGCGTAAGTTGTCCGACTTTTATTTTAACACTGTTTACTCATTTTCACAATAACTTGGCCGATGATCTGTCAAAGGACGATAAACTTAACGGCTGCGCCTACACAACAAATCAGTAAATACTCAATTAAAAAGACTTTAATTAATTAAACGTGTGCCTTTAGAAAAACTTAGTAACTGTACAAAATCAATTGCGTTATACAAAGTTTTGTACAGGCAATATGTAAGGCTTCTGCAATGAAGAATTGGATACAATTTTGCGCAATACAATTTTGCAAGAAAACCTCGCACTGTGGTAATGAAATTGTTCAAAAGTTCGAAAGAACCCTATTGTTCGAGAAACACGTTTACAGAAGTACACTATACCCGACACAAAGGAAATCAACGTATAAGAGAATCGTACACGTGAAAATTTTAAAAGAGTCACTTATAAGATTGTTGCAAAATAAGAATACAAAACAAAAGCATTGAAAAATACGGATCCCAATCGACCACATGCAAACAATTGAAACAATAATATTGACAATTCAATTGCAAACGGTAGGCCGGAACATGATGATTTCAACACATGTTACTAATACGAAATGTAATCAATACTATAATGTCTACGTAGGTTTTAACAGCTCTTAGAGTGAGAGAGAGCATGTAGGACGTGAGGAAGGTAAGCTAGTTGATTGTTAGAATGGAAGAGGCGACCTAGAAGCACCGCTGGCGGCGCAACGCGCGGCGCTCAACAAGTGAGAGAAGGGCGTCGAACGCATGGCGCGCCCCGCCGGCACGTGCACTCCCGCCCCGCCCCGCGTCGCCCCTTTAGCAGACACTGACAGTTAAATACATCTCCTGCTACATCATGCGGCCCTGGTACCGCGCTCGACCGAATTGGCAGACATTGTGGATTTCTAACAACAAAGAGACGAACGAAACTGTATTGTAGCCATCCACTGCGTTCGTTACCTACTTGTTTATGAATATATCATAATAACGCAGCAAAATTACACAGCATTTGGAGATCATTACCAAATAATGCTAATAAATTATTAAATAACTAATAACTTTAATAAGAATGTGAAATATAATAAACAGCCTTCAGATAAACCCAAACAACCTCTTGTGACAAACAATTTGTACTATGTGACGCGCTGTAACAGAATGGTAGCCAAAATTGTCGAACAGCGTGACTGCACCAGATGGCTGTGGCAGTAGCGATACATCGAAATGTGAGTTAGTAACGTAGTAGTCGTTATCAGTTTAGTCAGAGAGCGATAGTACACGTGTGGCTCCAACGTTGACATTATAGCTCAATAACAAACGAATGCTACAACACCGCTCTAAAATGTTCTAGACCAAACGACGGACACAATTACTTTTTGATACTTACTAAAATATCGACAGAAACTGTTCAAAGTTGAAATAGACAGTTCTGCGAAACAAATTTAGCCACCTGGACAGTGTACTACCTAGTGACATTTAACAAGAAAGAAAATCAATTTCGACATAAAATAACTACAAGTATTTCGAGTAAATATCTAATATAAAAAAATATGTAACAAAAGATGATAAAGAGACACACATTCTAATGATAACGAAATTGCATAATTTAGACGATATTTATGTATATGCGAGAAAATTCAGTCTTAGAAGATTTTTTTCTAACCACTTTCTAATGCTGCACAGTAGATTGCGCAGCAAGGCGACATGAACCGACAGGAGGTTATCCTAGTACTCGGTACTAGAGGTGAACAGCAAAACGTATCGACGTAAGCGACCGTATACACACGCGCAGTTATATAAGCCTTAGGACACGTGTCAGTGTTTATATTATGTAACTGTCTAGTTACCTAGCCTACAACTCAGCACATCACATACAGCTCAACGATGTGAACTTAGATATTACAAATTTATGTTGGTATTTCTATTAACTGAGTAATACGGTGTGATTTCATAGAATCATCGTTGCTGTTACGTCCGCGTTCTGATCATTTTTCTTAATGAAGATGCTTGTATTAGGTTTAGATATTTTGGGCCGTCCTTACGATAATTATGGTCTCACAATATTAAGCAGAAAATTAGAAAAAACACTTCAAGATAAAACTGTTAATTTATGACAAAAATCCAATTCTAATACACCGTTTATAATCGGTTTGAAAACAAAACACATTCCATGTAAGAGAGAACAAAATCATAGAAAGATATTGTATATGTTCCAATAATCGAGAACATAGGAATCAATTTTGCTAAAGATTAAGTGGATTTAGTTTAAAAGTAAATAATATCCAATGGAAAAGGATTAGAGGTTTTCGATTTCGAAGATGAATTGAAAACTTTTTCTTTAGTAAACCTATCTTTTCATCTGACAGCCTACCTTGGTCATCATAGTTTAAATTAGACCTTAGCCAATATTTCACCATTGTGTTATTATAAGTAAACAAACTGAGAAACCTAAACACGTCAAACAGACTCTTGTCTCGTGACTTAAATAAAGTTATCGTTGTGATAGAACGACGACATAACAATGACGAACAAACCATTTAAAAATTCACTGAACGGAACTAGGACATCAGCCAATAAAGGTACTACTATATACATATATCGGTTATTTTTCAAATGCGAACTTAAAGGAAAGCGCAGCTTACGAAATTTTGATGTAAAAAACAAGTCGGGAACATTGTCGATAACAAAAACAATGTTGTTCTTTAAGAACATTATTAGGTACCTACTTATGTTTACATAGTTCGGAACTTATTGGCTAATATAATAATTGCTATTAGCAACTATGTAACACAAAATGCATTGTTAAATAACTCGACAACTTACTACAATAGTGCAAACGATGTAATGCAACTTATTGTTGGATATCAAAGAAATAGCATTTTTCTAAGTAGACACATAAGCTAAGCTAGTAAAGACAAGGGAGAGATGTTTGAGCATCTGATATGACACAACAGTTACGTTAAAAGCATTATAGAACGAAAGATCGAAGAAAAGAAAGGCAAAGGAACACCCAGACGAAGTTAAATGAAATGTGGGAAAAAGTTAATGTCGTATCGAGACAAAACTCAAAGTTAAGGCACCGACGGAGATTACTATACTTGACAAGAGCTTCGCTCTTAAATAAGAAGACCGGCAATCAGACGTTTCACCTAAAGATTCGTGGTAGCCGCCCGCCTATAGACATTTGGAACTCTAAGATAGTATATTTTATCTCACAGATGTGTTGTCGACCGCAGGACGATGGTTACGGTAGAAAAGGAGACCCTTAGTACCTAACCAGGCGGGTTTTGTACTGTGAACTTGACACTAAAAATCCTCGTTGGAATTTTAATCCAATATGAAGGTCACCATGAACCTCATTAGTTGAATATCAAATTCCTAAATATGACTAAATAAAAGATTTTCCATTTAGAATTTCCATACTGAAGATTTTTTATTTAAATACTATAAAAGATCAATGTAACAATGTACTAGATAATGAGGTGATGAATATGATGTAATAACATAATAAATTGAAATGTATTAATACATAGCATTGCAGCCCGAGACAGTTATCTAGAAATAGAAAACTAATGACGTCTCATAAACTAAGAATAAACAAAGAAATTGCATTCAATCATGAATCAAAAGCCGACTGAACTGAAGTGCAAAGTGAAATTAACCGTGCTGAAGTGATTAGTACAGTAAGCAATTTGGTAGCACGAACTAAACGAATGATTTTACATTTTTATCATAATATAGGACAGATATTAGACACGCAGTTTTTATTTTGCGCAATAGGAAATACATTGGTATTGAGTAGAATTTCTATACGTAATCATTAGCTATTATTACGTGAAAAATTGTACGGTTCTCCGAAACTTCATGTCAATTTCATAATCATAGTGTTGAAAGATGATATTAAATCTTAACAAACAGTAAATTTGTTGATAATTAATATCGGTGCAATGGGTAACATATATGTATATGGGTCATGACACGTCATATTATGATTGAAAAAAGCATCATAAATTTTCACTCGCTTAAAGCGGACGACCGAAGATGGATTTACAGAAAGTATCCCAAAATGAAAGTATAAAAGGTAGCTAGGACTAAGCAAAAATGACTAAACAGCAAAAAAAGAAATTATTGGTATGTTGTTAAATCCCCCAAAATTTAAATGTTAATAACATTAAAAAAACTCCATCAGTTGACCGATAAGTCTCCAAATAAATCAATCCAAAAACAGACGATAATAAACGAGCATAAACGAAATTTATGTTTAAATAATAGAATACATGAACTCGATTCTTCCAAAATTAAACAGGTACCAAACATTTAAAATACAACGTGGAAATACATAATGGATTTCAGTTTCTATGTTGTTAAAGACTCAAGAATCATATTGTCTAGTAGGTAATGAAAAAAATTCAGAATTTTTAAAATAAAAACAACAAACGACTACTTTTACCTATCGGTCAATATACGTTTAACTAAGTTACCAAAGTTTTGAAATATCGAGCGCTATTTGCAACGGCTGTAGACTAAGAAGTCGTAACTATGGATTAGTCATACGACATTACAAAAATTCTGCGAACCAAAGAAATCGAACTTATGTAAAATAATTAATTTACAATTACAAGTTTGAAATTATTGTCGCCAGGCAAGCTAATCTCAAATATCAATCTAATGCAGTTGTCTGCAATAGTAGTGTATTGTGGCGATAAAACACATGAGCAATACCTGTATCGCCATTGTTACTCAGGTGCATTTCATTGCGTAATTGGACAATAGGTTAAACATGACGCCAGAGCGCCAGACTTATGCTGAAGGTAATAAGAAAAGTTGCCAGACTATTTCAAAAATGGTTTTTCGGTTAAATTAACCAGATTTATATACTATAACGCGGGTTAATCGAAAATAAATGGAAAGACCGTTGAACTAATAGACAGGACTGCTAAAGAGGAAGACGCAGTTAGAAATTGAAATTGCAACAATGAATTGCGATGACACGAGAACGACATCGAACGTGAACTGAGCGAGTTGCAAAGGGTCCAAAGTGCAAGTGTCCAGAGGCAGTGCGCTCAGTCTACGACGGTGGGTCAGACGGGCGCCGACAGCCCGCGGACACCCGCTAATTGGTGGTGCAGCGAATGCGAGGCGCGCGAGCACGTGGGGCGCAGCGCGGCGCAGGTGCCGCCGACCTCACGCTATCTCGTCTCGCCTCGAGGTTGCGGTGATAGCGCACGCTATTTTCGACCGTCGTCACCGGCTGACGATCGCAAACGCAGCCGCGAAATTTACCACGACTCCTGAAACGGAAGCGCTCGGAGTGTTACCGCGACGCGGGCGGTACGATTCACGCGAGCCGTATCTGAGTATCGATAGCACCGGCAGATAAGGGGCGACGAGCAAAAGGCAACTCGACCGGCGCCGATGCGATCCGCTCGACGACTGAGTGGCCGCCGCCGCGGATCGCGGGCCGACTCGTCTCAGAGGAAGGTGGAGAGGGAGGCACGACCTCCGGAACCCCGCGCCGGCCACCGCACCTCACCGCCCGCGAGTGAAACCGACAGAGGACGAAATCGCGAACGGCGAGGGAAGGAGGGGGGCGCGCACGCGGTCGAGCGCGACGCCCGCCGCCGTTGCACTCCGTTTTACATAACGCTGCACGAGCGGACCGGGCCGACACGCGAAACGGGGTCGCATCCACGGCTGCGAACACCTCCAGAATTTAAAGAGCTTCGCCGATCGGTAGATGATGAAACGGCGGCATTAGCACGCAGACGTGTACCGAGGAATCCGTCGGCGGCGGAGTCAGTGAACCTCGACGTCGACAAATAAGGTGAATGGAACATTGCAACCGAAACGAGAACGCAACGGTGCGCGCCGCGTAGGAGGCGACGAGTAGCGGGCCGCCGTCGCTGCCGCCTCGCTCCTTATGCACAATGGCGTTTAGCTTTCTAATTGGACGTGGCCCTGAGCTGCGCTGGCAGAATTCTTCCTACTGATACACTTTAACTGGCAACTACTTGCAGTAAAGCCATTAAGATCCGGCTCGAAGGACCATTTTAATGACAAAGAAACTGCAACATCTTTTATTTTCAATAGCAAACATAGAACTTGCGATCCTATTCGATATCTTGAAATCATAATAACACAGTCGAAAGCAAATAACCAATAGGAGAAACCTTGCGTCATTCTGCGACTAATCATCCTAATAGGATTTATCTAGTTGTTTATAAGAGGGCCTCGTACGCCACGCGTGCCACGTGTTATCTGTTACGTTACCGCCATCCATACACCAGATGCTTTTGAAGACTGCTATTATTAGCCGAACACCTATAGCAAGGCTTATTAAGTCTTGAAAAGAAGTAGCCGTCTTTTAAATAAAAAAAGTGTGAAATATAAAATGTACCAATTTTGACCTTACGAAATCTCATACTCCAAAGTAATTGACGCGAATGAGGAAACTTTATAACTATAAGTTCTGACAACAAAGCTGAACAAAATCTCACCAAAATCAAGAACGCAGCTGTATAAAAAGAAACCAACCACCCAAGAAAGTCTAAAACAATCGCAAGACTCGTTAAAATACCCACACTTAAACCCCATTGTCGGTCGAGTGAGAAAAGCGAGGGAGCGAGCATCATTTGGAGTGCAGCTAACAGGAACGCATAACTACGTGCAGGTTCCGAGTTCCGATAAGAAAGAAGGGAAGGTGCGCGGTGTAGAGGGGAGGATTGATACGAGCCGAGCAGGGGCAAGGTAAGTACAAGTATGAAAGTGGGGGTAAGTAAAGTTTGTGGCCGGCGTGGATGTGCGGGTCGTGCGGTACGGGCACGGCGCGGTGGCGCGCATGCGTGCAGCGGCTGACCTTGGCGCGGTGCAGCGTGCACCCCTCCCCCGGCGCAAACACCCCCCTCGTACACCTGGCGAGCAGGTTGCTCTAGCACCATGCCTAGATACTATTTCTGGAACGAATCTGGAAATCAAGTATTTCAATACAAAGTTTTATTGCAAGTGGCCGGGGAGATCGAATAGAAAGCTTATAAAATTATGTTTGGATTTTAATCAAAGTAAATGCAAAACTTTAGTTAGTGTGCCAGGTATTGTAACTTTAAAAACGATTTTTGACATAGGAAAAATTAAAAAATTCCGTGATTTTAAACAAAAGGCGAATATAGACAAAAACAGAAACGATATATGCTAAAACCACAAAAACAATTAGACACAGGAAACAAGACATAATTTCTAATACTAGAGACTAAACAATGAATAGCATGATTTGTACAAATACAAGTATTATGATTTGTATAAATATAAGATGTTGACTATAGAACATAATATAGAAATACTAATGTCCACTTGCACTAAATTTAAGTATGTCTTAAACCAATGCTTAAATTGATAAGACACTCTTAACACAATGTATTAAGAGTGTCTTTTGCATTGCAATTATTGGTTTAAGACGTACCTAGGTTTAGTGCAAGTGGACATAAATCTATCAGTAATCTATAAGAACTACGCAAATGGACTAATGAACGGATCCAAACATTTCGCCATAGGCAAATATGTTCAAAAAGAGAACAGTTTACTCCTTAGAAAAAAATAATAATATAATATAGAAGTTTATAGAAGTGAATGACGTAAAGCCCACAAAAAAAGAACGATCTATTTTTTTTTTGTACTGTCTTTTCCACTGGAAAAGGCAAAGGCACTAATGCGCCATATAGCCAAGACTAAGCGTCGTAATCTAGAGCTCTACTCAATGCTCAAGTCAGGATTTGACTATGGTTTAAAGCACTCGAAATCATACTCAAGTCCCTGCTATTAGGGTCGTATATCCAGTGCTTGTGTTGCCAGTACAATCCTGACTTGAGCATTGAATAGAGTTCTAGAATACGACCCTGAGAGTATTCTCTTTCTTCCATTACAAGAATTAAATGTCTTCTATAGTGCTTCTTATGAAATAATATAAAATTGGATAACATTTACGAATCCTGTCCATTCCTGTCTTCTAAGACTTTGAGGATGGCCATAAAATAATGGAAAAACCACGATAAAGACGTTTTAGAAATCGACACATTTAATTTTAATTTTTCTAAGAAAAAACGCGGGTAAGTGACAAAATTTCAAAATTTTTTGAGATACGAGTATCATAAAAATACGATAACCCAGTTTTAGAATAATGAAATTGTTTAGTGATATTTCAGCTATGCATCGTTAGGGTAGATTCCGATAAGTCCAACACGATAACTAATTTGAAGTGTTTTTAAAAGAGAATTTTGTGCTCCATTTTTTTTCTATTTAAAACGGATATTTGACAATTTGTCACTTAGCCGCTTTAGTTAGTGTACGGCTGTGCAATGGACTTTTATATATTTATTTTTATTAATTAAGCATTGGATACAGAGCAATCAGCTTAAAAAGTTAACTAGTAACTCAAATCGCAATTAACTTATTTAGTAGCAGTTAGCAGTAGAGCTCTTTGTGAAAGGGTTCGTCCAGGGAAGTACTGCCACCTTTCCTATTTTTGCCGCCAAGCAGTAATGTAAGCATTACTGTGTTTGGAGTTTGAAGAGCAAGGGTGCTGGTGAAATTACAGACACGTGGGACTTGTCAGCTAATGTTTCAGGGTGACAGGTGCAGTGACAGAGTCTCTCAGATCTTTGCGATTTAAAGCTCTGAGTGGCACTGCAACTGTTACGGACAGGTGTTTCGCTGACCACCAGGCGCACGACTTATTCGTCTTGGTCACTCGATATCATAAAAGAAACCAAAATAAAAAAAACTGAAACTGCCCACAGTGACTAAACCTCATCTACAGAACGTTTACATGGTTGGGATAGTTGACGCTGTATAATTTGTAGGAATTTATCAAATGAATTTATTTTCAATAAACCGGTCATTCTCGGACGGCAGTATGCCATTTTTTATCTTGCAATATTATTTAATATTCAAGTATTGTGCCTTGAAATATTTGATAATTACACGATAATATACTTGAATATGTAAATAATAAAAATAGCCACGGAAATTAGGTAGTGAACACTAGTCCGAGAATGATCGAAATATAATGGGTAATTTAATATGTTTTGAGAAAATAAAGGTGAACAAAGTTATGAGGTCGTTTTTTTTTTTAAAGAAAAAAGCTATAATTAATTATGTTCCTATAGAGTTCTTAGGTTTTTGCGATTGCTACATATAACTATTTTATTCGGATCTAAACACTCTAATCTAATCAATCTAAACACGGACATATTTAGCTAAAAAACATTGAATTATGATGACAATGTCCATTCATGTTATGAACCATTGCTGCGTTGCCCGCGATACATACCTAAAAGGACGTTTAATTTGAAAAAGACTGACTCCAATAGTTATTAAAAATAAACCAACCTCAAAAGTATGCTTATCGACTTATTGGAATTACATCTATTTGCTAAGTTTTATTGAAATCGGTTATTAATCCCCAAGTTTGCTACCGTTACCTAGAGGTGGAATATTTTCTTTAAATTTAAATGAGACCAGTAAAGAGGTACCCTCTTTCCAACAACAAAAAAAACAGCAAACTCGCTTCACAAATAAGCCGGAGTAATCGCGTGACATACACAAAAAATACATAGGCGAATTGAGAACTTCCTCCGTTTTTGAAGTCGGTTAAAAATTAAAACATGTTTATTCAATGTTTTACTAAGACACGCGAGCTCTTTAATGGATTTTCATAGCAGTAAAACACAAAATTCATAAATAATAATAGTAATAATAAATAAAAATTAATACATAAAAATAAATAAATAAAAATTTTCATTATTAACCGACTTCAAAAAAAGGAGGATGTTCTCAGTTCGACTGTGTTTTTTTTTTGTATGTATGTTACGCGATAACTGCGGTATTTGTGAACCGATTTTCATGATTTTTTTGTTGGAAAGAGGATACCTCCATAGTGGTCCCATTTCATTTTGAAGAAAATCATCCACCTCTAAGGGTGGCTGATCACATATGAACATTCATTTTTATACATAGCGCCTAAATTTTACTTAAGGAGCAATTATTTTAATGGTTGGTTTTACAATTCTCCAATTCAAGGCGTTTTTCTCTCAATATACTTTTAGTGAGAAACAATTTTCATTATCTCCTTTGTCCAAGTCCTGTATAGTAGCGAACTAGGTTTATATTGCAATAAAACTTGGCAAATAGATGTAATTCCACGTACTTTTGAACTCGGTTTTTTTTTACTTTAGTCAATTTGGCTTTTAACTAAGTTTTACCTTTTTTTTTTTGAAGATGCGATTTGATCCCCTTCGCACGTGATGGAAAGTGACGATGAAGTCGAAGATGTTGCATGCACACTTAGAGAATGCCTATTCACTCTCGACTTGAAAAGGTCGACAATACTTCAAAAAGTGAAATCGAATCGCTTCGCGCGAA